CACCTAATTTGGAACTTGCTTTCTGGTGTGGTAAAATTGACAGAATACACATAACAATAATTTCAGATACTTGCAAATGCTCTAAAATGCTTAGAGCAGGGCAGGTGCTATAAAGCACCAGTGGCACAGGATGGAGAGAACATCTATATGCTCTGGGCAAAGACTACCTTGTTGGGAAGATAAGACCTGGGAAATAAAGCCGTGGTCTTTGCTAAATATTTGGGGAAATTAGGCAAGAAAAAGTGAAATGCACAAGTGCTGAGGACTGTGGAGTGGTGGGAAAACTGAGTGATACCTGTGTGCCTCGAGTTTCATGACATCCTGATGGTTAGTTGGGAAAATGCCAGACTTGTTTTAAAAGAGGAGAGATACTTCAGTACTAACAGGTTTAATTCAGTTGAGACACAGGAAAGGAGGGTGACCCTTACGCAAATAGAGGGGTTTCCTTTGAGGGAACTGAAACACGTACCTTACAGTTCTTTCTCTTAGTTTCAGTAGCTTTCTCTTGATTCCTTCAATCCATCTGAGTGTTCCTTCCATCTCCTTTCCAGACCACCCTTTAGTTAGGCTTGTCTGCGGGTCTCTGTCCACACTACTCTTCTAATCACCCACTGAATGTTTTCCCGTAACAATATTATTCAAAATAGACCACTAGACTACACCCTCCTCTCCAACTCCAGATATTTTTTTAATCTTCCAAATTCATTAGCATTTTTCTTTAGCTGCTTATTTGACACTTTGTATAAACACACCTTGAATTTAACACATCCAAAATTGGGATTTGGGGTTTTGAGCCCCCTGCCCCTTTATAACACAGAAACTGAAGCATGGGCATAACTATTGGGGTTAATCATAATCTCTACCTTGTTATTTGATACATAAAGTATCATGGTGAACATTATTTATGCTCATTAAGACTCCTTGTTCCTCTTTCCCAGAACATTTGAATGAGTGCATTTATACATCCTTCACTTTAGCTCCATGTTGCACCTGCCCCTTCATTCCCCCAATCAACTTCCTTTATTTCATACCAAAGTGATCATGTGTTGAAATGTGGATATCTAAGATTAAAATAGTCTGGAATGCTGATGCATGACATGGAGGAAACCTGCTTCAACAGTCATTTGGACCTGCTGTGAAGTTGCAGCAAGGACAAAACAACCCCCCCACCCCCCCGCCATGTGTGTGTGTTTACTGCTGTAACCTGAGCAAACCCATCCAGACTGATATAAATGCTATGTGACTATATATTTAGGAAACATCTCTCTCAGCCCTTATTTCTGACTGCCTGGCCATCCATCCATGTCCCCTAAAAGAAATTCTGGAACTGCAGTGTCCCATGCCAACCCTCTTCAATTTCAGTAATTATCATCATGCATTAAGTTACTCAGTCAGAATCCCAAAACAAGGAGCAATTATCTTAATTCCTCTTCTCCCTCAACATTAAGCCTGATCAGTAAGTTTTTCTAAATGTGTCTCTCATACATCCTGAACCTCTGCAATAGCCTTCTTCCTTTTCCAACTTCCAGACTTGGGATAAATATGCCTTCCCATTCTACACAGTCAGAAGGTGATGAAGGATCTACCACAGGAATTCTATCCCCTGCTCTTGCCCCTTGCCATCTTGTTTGTTCGTGTGAGAACTAAAATGATAGGTCCTTTTGAGCCTTTGAGGAAAATGCCTTGTACACAAAAATAAATCTACATTTCTTAGAAGAACCTTTTTAAAATGTAAATCTGGCTGGATGTGATAGCCCCAGCACTCCGGAGGCAGGGGCAGGCAGATCGCTGAGTTCAAGGCCAGCCTGGTCTACAGAGCGAATTCCAGGACAGCCAAAGCTGCACAGAGAAACCCTGTCTCGGGGAAAACAACAACAACAACAAAAACCCTTGTATCTTTATTCAATCCATGTATACTTGTCAGTATTCCTTAAAAATGCAGTGTAACTAATCTCACAATATATACACTTTATTGGTTCCTGTAACTAATACAGAGATGATTTGAAGTGCATAGTACATACAGGTATGGTGGTGCACACCTGTAATTCCTGCGACCAATCCTCTGTGATACTGCTTTTCTTGGTATGTTTGCCTCTCTGTTAGTCATTTCCCACATTAAACTATTAATTTAATTAGAACAGAGAGTGTATCTGTTTTGTTTACCATTTGCTGGATGCCTAGTCCCTAGTCTTGTGCCAATTATAAAATGGGTACACAGTAAGTTTTGATGAATAAATGAATGAGGATCTGATGAAAAGTCTAGTGCCTGGGCTAAAGGCAGGAGAAGCTGATGAAACAAGAAGAAGGTAGCCTGGACTTCTTGAGCAAAATTGACCTCACATTTCTCCAGAGTAGCTCCTTGGCCCAAGTTTGCTCACACCATGTGACTAGCTGTGTGGATACACCAGCCACCCAGTGTGCAGGAGAGCAGACATACCACACTCCCAGTGCTTTAATTCCTTGGGAGGAAGCAGAAACATAGAGCCCTCATTTACTAAAGCTTGTTATTTTGCCACAGACATTTAATAACTGGTTTAAACAAAAATATTAAGCAATCTCTTCTTTGTTTTAGAGACTAAATGTTCCTTTTTTACAAGCAAGTAAAACCACAAAAAGTCAGTAAAATGCAAGCTCTCACACATTAAAAGGAAAGTGTAACTCTACAATCTCAATTCAGTATCTATTCTCTCCATGTTTTAAAATAGTACATTTTTCTTTTCTTGATGATAAAAATAAGACTTCATATAATTTTATATAATTTAATACTAAAATCTTGCAAAGATAAACTATGGAAACAATCACATCAATGGAACTGGCTTTTATTTCTAAATCACAAAAGCTACTATGTCTCCTTTCATTTCCTACTCTCTCCTTGGGAACCAAAAAAAAAAAAGAAAAGAAAAACAAAAGCCTCATTCATCTCCACTTTAATTTCCTCTGAATCTATTTCTAGGTACCTAGGTCAGCTGATTGGATTAGCCAGGTAATATAACCCACCATTTTGCCTTTATCTCTTACCAGATGAGATTAAAATCTAAGCTCCTTAATTCAGTATGTGAGTCCCTTCATTATCTGGCTCCTGTCCTGCTTCCAGCCTTTCTCACCACTTCCTTCCCTGACTCAGTTGGGAGCTTACGGATAAAGGCCATGGACTCACAAGTCTTGAATGTGTCCAGACCTTTCCTACTCTAACAGAAACTTTGGAGTGCCACATCCTCTCTCAGATTTCCTAGTCTTGCTAGTAAAAGAATGTAAAAACTAAGAAGAACGCTTGAGGATAATTTTATCAGTGTTTAAAAGAAAGACCTCTGTAGATGGATTTTTCTTTGGACAACCAGCTCACAAAAAAAAAAAAAAAAAAAGACATGGAGACTTATTAATTATGAAAGCGTGGCCTATAGCTTAGGCTTGTTTCTAACTAGCTTTTATAATTTAAATTAACCTAGTTTTGTTAATCTACATTCTACCACATGTCTTTTTACCTTTCTTTCATTGTATATGTCCGACTTCCTCCATGTCTTGTTGGCATCTCTTTTGTGCCTCGATTATCTCCTCATACTTCCCCTCTCTGACCTGAAATCCTGTCTATACCTCCTGCCTAGCTGTTGGCTATTCCGCTTTTTATTATACCAATCACAGCAATGGCCGGTAAGCTTAAATCTCAGCCGCTGTTCTGAGGAGGAAGATGAAGAAGAGTAAGAGAGAAAAACATTCAGTTTGAATTAAGCATATGTGTTCAGTAATGGAGGCCAAGCCATATGGTGGATGAGAAGCCACCTAATAAAAGAGTGTGGGGAGCTTCAGAGAAAGAGTAAGGAAGCCCACAGTGTTAGAGAAAGCATGCTTAGGAAGAGAAAAAAGGAAAGGAAAAGTTACACTTTTTTGAGTAAGTACTTAGAAAAGCAGATATGCTTAACAGGGTTATATCTCCATAAGTGATTATACCAGGAAAAGTACATTATCTCAACAAAAAAAGTATATTATGTCATTTAAAGGATAATTATTTCTCCCAGGCTTTAGGTAAATCAATTAAGTGTGGCATTACATGCAAATAGCAGAGAGAGGAGCAGGAGTAAGTGAACAAGACCTCCGATGATCCACCTCCTTCTATGTGGCAGCACCAACAATCAACACATCCAATTTTGGGGTTTGTTTCCAAGTGGTTAAGCTGTTCTGATGAGCATGAGCAAAGGGAAAAGCTGAAGGCAGGGTAGAGGGAAGAAAACAGAAAGCAGAAAAGAATGCTAGGATAATGTGATATCAGGAAAAGAAAACTGAAACTAGAAGACTGATCTCTATGTGTATCCTTTAGAATTCACAGAAATGAGCAAGATTCTCTCATACTACACACCATGGCATCTCCTGAGTTCTTGGCCTCCTTCCTTGGTCCTGTGTCTTCTTCCTGTAAGAGTCATATACCCTTTATTTTCTCCTTCTGCCTCTTTGCCATGCTAGAACATACACCCCAGCACAACAGGTTCTTTATTTTGTTCCTGTACAAATTTCAAGCACCAAGAAGAATGAGTGCCGACACACATTAGATTTTTTAGTAAGTATTTCTAGATGGCTGAGTTAAGTGACAATTAGTGACATTGACTAAGGCTAACATGGACAGAGAATGGCTGTCTTCCAAGACAGCCAGTGTTTCCTGAACTTTCAGGACTACAGTTAAGCTCTACTACAACTCAACTTCTTGCTTACCTGGTTCTGTTTATTGGTTCTCCATCATTTCTCTGCATCAGGGCCATTTTCTCCATTGTGGTTCTGTCACTTTTTTTTTTAACTATCTCTTTTGTTCCTCTGACTTTCTCCCCTAACTATATCTATTTCTGTTTCTTCCATTCTTTCTAGACACATCATCCATGTGGCTTGCTTGTGGGTAGAGTTTATATAATTAAACTACAAGGGTCTGGGATTTCATTGTTTAAATGTTATTTGCATGGTAAGTATGTCCTGTTCTTCCTGAAATCAGACACTTTATGTAGCTCGCTTGACACAGATGCAGAATAACTTTAATTTTATTGACTGTCATCTTGGAGACCTAAGTCTCCAATACAGTATCTCAATATTTCTGAAACATGGACAGATACCTCACAGGAATGCCCATAGCACAGCACTATTCATAAAAACCAAAACTACAAACAGTACAAATAATCAAAACCAGTTGAATAGCTAAATACTTAAACAGTAGAACATTACATAACAGGAGAACCAGTAAATGGCTGCTGATGCAGAGACAGACGAATCCTCATAATTCTAACAATGAAATAAGACAAATACACAAATAAAGAAAAAATGAAATAATAATTATATTTATTGCAGTTCAAATAAAACAGGTTGTAGCAGGTATGGTGTTACATATCCATAATCCCAGCACTCAAGAGAGTGAGATGGGAGAATTACAAGTTCAAGGACAGCCATGGCTACATAACCCAGGTCTCAAAACAACTACAAAACAGGTTTTAGAAATTAAGACAGCTGTCATTCTAGTGTCAATGGCTAGGAGTGAAAGTTTTCCGGGAGCGGGGTATGCTTGTGTGTTAATATAGGTATGACTAACAGGAATGCACTTGTTTTGTGAAAATTCTTTATACAGTGTGTCTATGTGTATGTATACATGTGTGTACACACACATATAGTACTGGGTTGAAAATTTTGCTTAGATTGATGAACACTAATATATTATATATTTGGGTGAGAGGAGGGAGAACTTGTGGGACATTGTTGACCACAATGATGTTTACCACACCAACTATCACATGAAATCACATGCTTACACATATAAGTGGGATAAAGAGAACATCAAAATAATGATGAGCAGTGGCAAACTTGGAATGTCGGATTTAAAATATGTTTAATAGCTCTTCTCAGAGAGGACAAAACTAAGTAGTATAAAAGGTAACTTGGGGCCAGATTTGGTAACACACACCTGTTGAGCTCAGCACTGAGGAAGCTGAGGTTGGAGTGTCACAAGCTTGAGACTAGCCAGGATAAAGCTGTCTTGGGGATGAAAACACCAAATCCAAAACAAAAGATAACTTTACATTTATTAAATAATACATTTCCAGATTTACATGTATTGGTTTTGTTTTTCATTTGCTATTGAATTTCATATACACTAGTGGAATCATCTTATAGGTTAGGAATATAACAAAGGACAACTTTAATTTCAAATTAAACACACTATACAGTATGCTTGTTATTCATAAAATGCATGAAAGAAAACAGTATTCCCAGAGTGTGCTGTGACATAATCTTTTATAGTCACCGTAGACCCAAGATTTTATAAGACTAGCTTTATTATAACATGGAACTTTGGTATTTCCTTTAAAGAAAAAAAGCAGTATTTTACTCTTTTAAACAGAAGTATTCATCCATTTTCTGCAAGACTATTATTACATAGTCTTTAGAGATACTATTGTTCCATTATAGGCAAGTGCCACAATGAGGATGAGACAGCAGTATGATTCTGGTATGTCCTGGTTAGCTACAACCAGAATGCACGGTCAGCTGCCTTCATGAGGCAGCTATCATCTTCCTTCAGAAGTCAACACATGGCTTCTAACTGTATTTAAGAAGAAACCAGGAATAGAATAGAACATTATGCCTTTAAAATACCAAGGACATTTAGGAATTGCACACATCTGAGCCAGAGCACCCTATGGTTCTCAAGCAGAGCATCTCAGTTGAGGCTACATACTTGTTTTTCTCTAGAAATGAAGTGCAGTTTTACTCCAGTATGAACTATGTAGTTAGTGCAGGAGACCAAAGACTATATATTACATGGATACCTAGAAATTGTTGGTACTCAGAAAATATCAAGTAAAAAAATTTAAAAAGTAGGAAATATTCCGGCTTAAAATGTGTATTTTTAATGCACATTTCCGATGGGTATATTCAAAACTATTTTTATTTTTGTATTGACTCCATTTAGAATACTTTGTATTTAAAAGCTCACTTTAAATATAGACTACTATAGATAATTTACTTTTTAGTTTTCTGGTTTTTTTGGGGGGGTTGTTTTGTTTTGTTTTGTTTTTGTTTTTTCGAGACAGGGTTTCTCTGTGTAGCTTTGGAGCCTGTCCTGGAATTTGCTCTGAAGACCAGGCTGGCCTCAAACTTAGAGAGATCTGCCTGCCAAGTGCTAGGACTAAAGGTGTGTGCCACCACCGCTCTGCCTTAGATTGTTTTTAAAGTGGTTAGAATTCCATGACTGTTTCCTCTGAGCACTATTGAATAGTTAGAGAAAAACTTGTCCTCATCACCATGGTCTTCTATAAAAAAAAGGGTTTGGTCAAAATTGTCTTCATGTTAGATTTTTTAAAATGTGGTCTCACTATGCAGCGCAATAGACCATGAGCTCTTGCTCCTCTTGCCCCAGCCTCGCAAGGCCTAGGATGGTAGATGTGCACCACCATGCCTGGCTCTCATGTCAGACCGTAAGTAGAAGAGAGCTTATCTGCCCTTATACAAGGAGCACTTATACACAAAAAGATAAGCTAAAGCTGCATTTTAAAAATAGAGATTATAGGGAATAGAGAGATGGCTCAGTGGTTAAGAGCACTTGTTGCTCTTGCAGAGAACCTGGATTCAGTTCCCAGGACCTATGCAGCAGCTCACAACCATCTATAACTCCACACCCAGGCTATCTGATACTCTTCTAACCTCTTGGGCACCAGGCACATACATGGTACACATATGAACAAGACACTCATACACAAAATAAATCTAAACAAAATTATGTTTCAGAGATTGGTTTTATTTTTTTAAGCTCTTTAATGAATGCATTAGTAATTCTGTTTTACCTTTCTCACTGCGATCAACACAACCCATGGATTTCAGGGTCAATCAGGGAATCATCTTCCTTTTTGATTAGTCCTTCCTGACTCACTTGCTCATAAAGTTTGTATGTCAACACTTACTGCAACTTAACAGGGATAGAGCCTACCCTGTGGGCACAGACAGCAAACCTGTTTGGTGTTAGCAGCACTGAGCACAGTCACTGGACATTGCTGATTTTCAGGGATAATTCTCATGGTTTTGTATATTTTAGAGCTAAGCTGCTTATTTTCTACATTAAGACATAGAAATGACAAGTGTTTCTTGTGTAATACCTAAGAAGTTTAAAAATGTAAATTTTCTTTTTTTGTTTTGTTTTTCAAGACAGGTTTTCTTTATGTAACAGCCCTGGCTGTCCTGGAACTCACTTTGTAGACCAGGCTGGCCTTGAACTCACTGAGATCCACCTGCCCCTGCCTCCCAAGTGCTGGGCTTAAAGGCGTGCGCCACCACGGCCCAGCTAAAAATGTAAATATTTCTAACATAGCAGTAAAAGGATGGCTGTTTAAGTACGATGAAATAATCAGTGCAGAGAACACTTGCAGAGAATGACCTGATGGCCATGTCTGTCTAGGAGTCCTTGCTGACAGTGACCCCTGAACCCACTCTCAGGAAGCAAGTCTACGCATGGCCTGTGAAAGAAAAGGGGAAACAAAACATTGACCAACTTAGTTCTCTTTAGGGCTACATTATCTTTTTTTAAAATATGTTTTTCTAGTATTGGTTGCTTGATTTTTCCCAGATATGTATCATAAAAAAAAGGAGAGAAGACAATTTCAATTCTCATCATACTTCTAATTGGGTTTATGTAAAGCAGTGATTACTGTTCATTGGACACTAAGTATAAAACCCTACTCTTCATATGCAGCCTTCAGTTTTCACCACTCTGTGTATTACCATGCAGGTACTGAAATGAAAGAGGAATGTGCTGGCTGAACAGCCAGTAAGAACCAGATTCAGGAGTAGCTCAACAGGTCTGTCTGGTTTCAAATCCCAACTGCTACAATGCTTCATAACCTTAGACGCCTTGGCTGAATGATCATTTTATGTGGAAATTAGTAACAATCTATTCCGCAGTGTGGTAGTCACTCAAGTTCCTTTATTTATTTCTTTATTCATTCATTCATTTATTTCTTGGGGATAAGATCTCTAGCCCAAGTTGGCATCAAGCCCCAGAGGTAGCTTCAGATACACTTCAACTTCTGATCTTCCTTGCCTTTACCTCCAAAATGTTGGGATTACAGGAGTCCATTTATTTTGTGCTGGGAATTGAACCCAGGACCTCATAGAGTCATAAATTATCAAAGCTGGAAAGACTTCTTGGTTTAATAATGACTTTCAAAGGCTTATTAGGGGACCAAGACACCAGGCTTGTGATTTTCATTCTAACATTACTTTCTTCCACAAAATTCTCTGCCTAATTTTACTACAGGGGCTTGCATGTTACCTAGTGCTTTCCATCAGGACCTGGAAAGTCATCATAGTTTGCTTATCAGACTTGAAGTAAGTATGTGAGATGACAGTCAAAACCAAAACCGTTAATAAACTGGATCCAAAATGCAGTCTAGCAGAACTGAATGTGATCTTGCATTTGAGACAGAAACCAATTGCCTAAGTATGAACGGAGAACCCAGGTCTATCATAGTTTATGTGAAAATGCACCTGTCTTTATTTGACTCCTGTTAAATAGAGCCCAAGATTTTAATGTAGCTATAATAAAAACAGACATATGTTCTTTAAATATCTCGATGAGCTCAAAATGGTCATGGTTGCATGGTTTCCATGGCACCCTAACTACTTGTAGGTCCCTTTGTTGGCCAGCAAAACATTGATAGACTGCTTATCTGTGAAGACTGACAGAAGGAATTGGAAAAAGCTGCCCTGGGAGTCTGGTGGAAACAGAGGTGTTATCAATGAGTGATAGCCTGGCCCAAGGGAAGGCCTGTGTTGCTAGGGAAAACATAGCTGGTAGTTACTACAGAAAGGCCAAGCTCACTTGCATAGGCACAATTAACTGGGATTTCTATCCATGGAAACTTCCCTTGAGAAGTCACTGGTTACCAGTGTCTGGAAATTTTCACAGATAATCTAAATTAAGTGAATCAGATTGGTGTAGGAGGGATTTCTGCATGGGCTGGAATATCACATTATTGGTTTCTAAGAAAACTTGCAATTTAAAATTCTTTTAATTTTCAGCCTTTGGCTAAGATCAAGTATAAAGTTATCTTATTTTTATTTATATTCTTTGGTAATTTCATGATAAAAAATTATCTGATCTTCCATGGTTGCTCTCATTTTGCTTAGAAGTAAAACCCTAAAGTTTACTCAGATTCTTCAAATTCAGTCAACTGTCCTAGAAACAGTCTGATGGCATGATCACCAGCCTCAGTCTGGTGCAAAGGAAGTGTGTAAGCCATCATTAGTCAGGTGAAGACTGACTGTGGCCCTACGTTAGAAATCCCCTGTCCCCTTTCCCTACCCCATAGCCTTAGGTCTCTAGGAAGAAGTGTGCTTTGAGTTCAATATAAAATCAGAACTAGCCTATGGCGACCAGTCACTGGTCATCTCTCTGTGCCTGAAATTAAAGTTCCCCAAGTCTTTGTCATCCTTGAGGGAATTTCCTCTTTCCATTTCTCCTCCTATAAAGCTATACCTTTCAGGATGTTTTTGGATTTTCCCTGGATGGCTCTTAAATGATTCACTGCTTGTTCACTCCATTTATTCAATATTAAATCCAATTATTTTCTACATAAAATAATGACCATACCTCATCCTGAACATCAAGTTCTTCCTCATTCTTCTCTGTTTCCATCAGTTCAAGAGGATCTTTACAGTCTTGAATGAGGGTGATCTTGACAAAGAATATACACAGTTTTTATTGGAAATATAATAACATCAAATATAGCACATACCACTGAAATGATTTGAAGCTTCGCTGATACTGTCATCTGTAATCTATGGATTTCAGAATCCTCTTCTAATTTCTTGCTCCTTCATATTTCTCATCTTAGGAGTTTCCCTCTACCATTTTTTAAAAACATTCAAACTGGTCCAGTTTTCCCCTGTGTAAACTCCTTTAACAGCTTTCTTCTCTACCTCTGAAGTATGTACCTCTTAACAAGACACCCCAACAAGCAGTCAATAGTGCTTGTCTTTTGACAGCTAAGCTAAGAACACTTAATACAGCTTTGAGCACATTTTGATTATACCACAGTGGGCTGGTGACTCAGGACAATATAGGATCCCAACATGAATTTAGTGGAATTTAATTTTATTGGAGGAGGAATTGACTGTTTAGGACATTTCTGCTTTTCAGGGATAATGTATAATTTAATCCTTTCCATGGAGGATATCATGTAGCCAGAAGATTTCTCCAGTCCCTTCCAGCCCTGAGGTCCTGCAGCCACTTATAAAATAATCACTCATATGTTTAATATTATTTACAAACTGTATGGCCTATTGGCTCAGGCTTCTCACTAACTAGCTCTTACAACTGAACCCATAACTATTAGTCTATGTACCACCACGTGTTCCTTGGCTTTACCTGTGTCCCATTATGTGTTGCTCCTTGGGCAGCTGGCTCGTGTTTCTCTGCCTCTGCCTTTCTTCTTCCTGTCTCTCTCTTGGATTTCCTGCCTGGCTATAACCTGACTTGCCATAGGTCAGAGCAGCTTATTTATTAACCAATGGGAACAACACATATTCACAGCATACAGAAAGACATCCCCCAACACAATACAACTTGCATTTTTCTTGTTCATTGAGGACATTTCTAAAGTAATACCAAGTGTATACCAAAGCTAAAATGTCATCCTAAAGTACTAGTTTTCTACTTTTTGTCTCACAAACAGCCCAGTGCTCTTTCTTGATGTGAAAGTCAGTTAAAGGCCAAGTCCCTGTACAAATGGTCTTAATATGATGGAATGGTAGATGCAGATTGTGGCTGTGCTAGGATAAAGCTACAGTAAATCTCTGCATCTAAATATCTGAGCAAGCGACTTTCTGAAGGAAAGGAAACCACTGGGTGAGGATGGGTCAAGTTTCACGATGGACCCTGTGGAGACAGGCAAGTTTCCCAGTCTCACTGGAGCCAGAAATGCTCTGCCCACCTTGCAAGCAATCATTTATACTCTAGCTAACATAGACTAAAAGTGAAAATCTAGGCCGACCACTCACAGCACCTCACTGACTGAATCAGTCTAGTCTGATATAGTGAGTGCACTGTTCCTCATTCAGCTTTATCACATTTGTGGCCTAAGATTTTACATCAGAAAGGGTGCTAACAAATCACAGGACTGCTTTCCTGTTGAGAAGGAACTTGGTGCCGTGGTTTTGTTTTACTTTTGATGTGTGGTCTCAAAAAGCTATATGAGCCAGCTTTGTTTTTTTTTTTTTTTTTTTTTTGTTTTTTTTGTTTTTTCGAGACAGGGTTTCTCTGTGTAGCTTTGCGCCTTTCCTGGAACTCACTTGGTAGTCCAGGCTGGCCTCGAACTCACAGAGATCCGCCTGGCTCTGCCTCCCGAGTGCTGGGATTGTTTTTAATCTAGGGTTAAAATTTTTTTTAAAACATTTATTTATTACAGTATTCTGTTTGCTTGTATCCCTGCAGGCCAGGAGAGGGCACCAGATCTCACTACGGATGGTTGTGAGCCACCATGTGGTTGCTGGGAATTGAACTCAGGACCTCTGGAAGAGCAGCTAGTGCTCCTAACCTCTGAGCTACTTCCAGTCTGGGTTAGAAATTTTTAAGTTGGATAGGAAACAAAGGTGGTGAATTTTAGATTAGCATCTTACATGTAGCTTTCCTTTTTTAAAGAAAAAAATTTTATTTATTTTATGTGTATGAGTGTTTTGTCTACACATACATATGTGTGCCAAGTGTATGCCTGGTACCCACAAAGGCCAGAAGAGGGTATCAGATCCCCTTTGACTGGAGTTACAGAGAGTTGCAAGCCACCATGGGGGTGCTAGAAACTGGAGGAGCACCCAGTGCTCTTAACCACCGAGCCATCTCTCCAGCCCCTAGCTTTTCTTTTTAGTAGGTATGGACACTTGTGTATTTGAGATGGACACTTTCAATAGCTTGGGCTGCTCTTTTCACCAGGAACATTGGCAGAACATCCTCTGTACTGACAGCTAAAAAGAATAATGCAATAGTTTCTGAGTTAGTTTTACTCCAAACACCAACTTCTAATCTGTAATAAAAGATCTGCTTATCTTAGCCTTAGGAAACATCGTAAATAATACAATATGATTATGTTAAAAGGATAATTGTTTTTCATGTGTTAATGGTAATTTAAATGGAAGATGTTCTCCATAGGCTCATGTATTTGAACATTTAGTCCCTAGTAGGTAGCACTGTTTGGGGAGGTTATGGAACATTTAGGTGGTGGAGCCTTGCTAGAGAAAGAATGTCACTTGGGGCAGGCTTTGATGTTTCATAGCCTTGCCCCACTTCCTGCCCTTTCTGTGTGTGGATAAAATGTGACCAGCCAGCTTCCAGCTCCTGCCTCTGTACCATGCCTTCCCTGCCATTGTGGGCCCTCTGGAACTGTGAACTAAAGTAAACTCTTAGTTGTGGTATTTTTATCACAGCAACAGAAAAGAACCTGCTACAGTGTCTCAAATTCACCATGAAAGGGTCATGAGAAATGAGGTTCTCATTCACACCTACAGTAGACCCAGGCAAGGAGTCCAAGCAGGTTTGCCTCTTCTCACTACTTGAAAGGAGAATTGACAAAATAAGACTTCTAGGAAATGATAATGTTTCCCATTTTGTGAGAGAAAATGAACCTGGATTTGCTTATGGTTTTAATTTTTTGTGGTGGGGGGCGGTACTTGCCCGTGAGGATACATGTGTAGGTCAGATGTTAATATCAGGATATTTTCCTTTGTTGCTCTCCATCTAATTTTTTTTGAGATAGGGTCTCTCATTAAACATGGAGCCATCATGGCTATCCTGGCTGGCAGAGAGCCCTGGAATTCACCTATTTCCACACCCAAACAGTGGGGTCACAGGCACATATCACCAATGTTTGTTTGTTTGTTTGTTTGTTTTTCTTATCTACGTGGGTGCTGTGGAGCTGTCTCAGATCCTTACACTTGCACAGCGATCAAGCCTTCAGTTTTCCAAGCTCCTCATTTTTTGTTCTTTGTTTGTTTTCCAAAGATTACTTATGAATTGAATCTTAACTTCATAAATTAAGGATTCCACATTGGTATAATATATACTACATTTGTGCACACGCATCACAGAAAATCAAGATTCAGTGCTGTTTTCTAAAAAAGCATTGCAGCTAATGCCACATTTGTCAGTGAACATGCACACTGCAGAACTCAAGTCTTGGGCATCAACCTTCCTAGAAACTACTTTAGTCCTCCAGTTTTTCCAGCAGTAAGTGGTTTTATCCCCACTTTACCGAGGAGAAACTGGCTCTTAGAAGTTCAACAGATGGCCTAAAAGCCAGAGGTTAGCCTGGCTTTCAGACGAGAGTTAGGTGAATGTTTACCGTCTCTAGAAGAGAATCCTGGCCCTCCCTGGATTTAACCTGGTTCTTCAGATAGAGTATAGCATCATGAACCGTCAGAAAGAATCTGTCCTTTCTAATGTTGTCATCAAAGAACCCACACTGCTCCATCTTCTCTAGCACATCGTCTGCAAATGAAAAAGGATGTTTAGTTGCTAGAAAAAGGATTTTTGTAACATCAAATGATATCAGGTTGTTGTTTTTTTTAATTTGGTAGCACCTTTTCATTATTTTCTCATTTCTAAATTGTGACCCTGCTCTAACACAGCTGTCTTTCTTTACCAGCAGCACACAGCATGGTCAGCCCACAGTTGCTTGCAGTCTGTCTTGGTGACCCTTTTGCCAAGCCAATGTTCCCATCCCCCAGTTGCTGTGAACCTGGTTGCTGGTTCACAGCTGTGCCCTTTTCAGAGAATTTCTCTGGCCACTGGGAGCTGTATAACTTGAAGAGGCCTGGGGAGCTCCCACACACATACCTGGCCTGCATCCACTGACGGACAGATGAAGGTATAAAGTGGGGCCCTGCATAACCACCCCTGACTACAGCCACTGTGTAGTCAACCGTCTGACATCAGGTGCCTGACCAGCCTCATCTCCTGCCCTGTCCCTCTTCCCTCACGCCCTCAACCACTTGTGCATAAACCCCCATCTCAGGCTCCCTCAGAGAACTCATCCCAAGCACCAGTACCCTCCTCTACTTATAGACAAGTCACAGAGACTCATACTTGGCATTTCTCCTGTTCCAAAAGATCTTCGTTGTCTCACCTCTGCTCTCCCCAGAAACAATGTCCCCACAGTCACTAACACCACTATCAGGAAACAAGTTTCAATACTTTGCTGGCTCTATGGCACAAATTGGAAGAAATCTCTTTCAAAGCTCAAAAATGCCCTAAGCTACTGTAATAGGTACACAGTTATTTGTGGTGATGAAAAGTTTTGGAAATAGCACACAATTATTTAATGTTGTGATTAACTGCATATTTAAAGGTTACTATGATGATATTTTCTTAGACATTCTGTACTACAATACAAAATAGTTTTTTTAAATTTTGTTTGATTTTTTAGAAGGCCTTTAGACATCATATATTCACATTCCAAGGGAGGAGATGTGGGGCAAGTTTGATATATGTGCACATAGGCATTTACCTTGAAGCAAAGCAAAGTACACATTCACATCAATTCTCTGAAATTCTTTGACAATCTAAAAATAGAAAAGAATTCAGTCATATTTAAACATTTGCTCAGGAGAAATGTCAACATTTCTATGGTTAATCAAGACTTTCAGGAGAGTTTATTACTGGAAAACCATAGATATTTTCAGCCTGACATAATGCTGTAGATAAAGACGTATGTGATGGGCTGGGCGGTGGTGGCTCACACCTTTAATCCCAGCACTTGGGAGGCAGAGCCAGGTAGATCTCTGTGAGTTCGGGGCCAGCCTGATCTACAGAGTGAGATCCAGGACAGGCACCAAAACTACACAGAGAAACCCTGTCTCAAAAAAACGAAAAAAAAAAATGTATGTGATGTATCTTAAGAAACAGCACACCAAGTAAGGTAGCTTGCGCTGGTAATGCTATCACTCAAAAGGCTGAAGCAAGGGGCTTTTAATTCAAGGATTACATAGCAAGACCTGTTTTTAAAAAGACTGAGGAAGAACAACATCCAATGTGTGGTAGCTAGCAATTCATAACACAGAGGTACTCAATAAATATTTGTCGAAGGAAAGAAACAATGAAGTGGTTAGGCTCCCAAATAGTTCTTGCTCATTGTAACAAAAAGTATAAGACTTACCAAAAAGTCAAATCTCACTAAACATCCAGGTCTTTGTTTTAAATGTACCAATGCCAATTATCTTGATTTCACTTTTGTACTATAGTTTTTTATACCATATAACTATTGGGAGAAATTAGGAAGGAGGTACATAGAATTTCTCTAATATCCCTCAAAACTAAGTGTGAATTTACAATGACCATTAGAAGTTTGATTTTTTAAAAAAAAATCCAAACTAATTGTCACTAGAACATAAACAGCTATTCAAGTGTGGAAGTGGAACATAGTCTGGCATTAGGACTCTATAAAACCATTAAACCAAGGGGCCAATCACTGCATAGGGAGAGATAACAACAAAGAGCCAGCGTGTGTTCTCAAATGAGCTGACAGACCTGCTGAGAGGACAGAGCCTCACAGCATATTCTCATAGTCTTTTGCCAAGTGTAAATACTCACCTACCTAGCACCCAGACCCTGGCATCAATTTCTCTCCTGCAGTGGTAGCCCTCAGCTAAGCTAAAACTAGACAGAAGCCCGTTTCCTGTGGTTATATCTCTTGTTGATGCCTTACCCTGCCGACCTCTCTCTCTGACCCTCTTGGTACCTACCTGAAGCTTCATCTAAATTTAACACTTGGGATAACACCTATTTAAAGTACACTGAAGCACCTACTGCAGTTGTTTGTACATGATTGAATGTTTACCTTCCTCTTTAGTAGAGAAACTGGGCCTACCTCATCACGAGTCTTCTGCTAGGTGGAGCAATCAGCACACATTGAAGCATCGAATGAATGAACTTGAGTTTCTGCTGTTGCTCTTGGTTCTGTGAGTGCTTCTGTCCAGCATGTTGCTTACTATTGCCCTGACTTCCTGGGTATGACCCAAGGCCTGCCCTTGCTTCTTAACAATGCCTACCTCTTCTAGTTCAGTCCTATTGCTGTTCCATAACAAGTAGAATATAATACTTAACACAAGCTGTACCACTTTTCCTTGTTTTCATGGAAAACATTTACATTCTCAGAAAAATAAAACATACTAAGTATTAACATCTTCTAAGAGACATCTGTGTGCCAGAAACTCTTCTGTATTACTTATATGTGCTGCTCACTTGATCTTCATGATACCTGTGTAGTAAATACCATCATTCTGGTTATATTACAAAAGAAGAAGCCAAGACAAAGGCAGATTAAGAAACTTGTTCTTGGTAGTGGAGGCAGGATTCACTTCACAGAGCCTGACTCCAGAGCTTACGCTCTATTGCCAAAAAGGAGGAGGGAGAGGAGGAAGAAGAAGAGAGAAGAAAATTCACTTAGACAAATTACAGAGCCCTTTCACACAGCCGAGTGACCCATTCCTTCACTTTATCATTGCCAACACCCCAAGTCTATAGTACAAACAACCAGAACCTCACCATTCGCAATGACCTCACTCCTACCACATCCAGGAAGGACACGGCTCCACAATCCAGCACCAGGCTGTGGATTGGCACTTTTGGGACATTCACTTTAACCGGGAGTTCAGAGTTCCAGTCCACTTGAATCTCAATTTCTTTGGTTGGAATATCAAGTTCCTCTGGCTCTTCAACATCTTCATCAGGTTCAAAAGCATTATTTGATGAACCAACATCACTTATGATCCCGTTCTAAGAAAGAAAACAACACCAACTTTATTGTCAATAATACAAAATACCTTTCATCAGTTTACCCCAAACTGTTCAAAAGTCCTGCATGGACCACTTAGAAAACCAATATAGCGAAATTGGATTTCTGGATGATTGTGGGACTTTTGCAAGAAATACAGAAAAGTCACAGCAAAAACTGTGAAAGTTCATGAAACTACTATTGTAGTTTTCTGGCATTGAATTTGTACCTTGTTCTTTTCAGTAAAAATAATGTTTAAAAATAGTACAGATGCTCATTTTTAATGGGGACTGCCTCTGTTTTGAGGGAGCTCTACTGGTTTCATTACCCCACCCTTCCCCTGGAGCCTACAACAGATCGGTTGTTCTGGGATGCACGTCTGTCATCCACTCTTGTGCCTCTGGGTAGCAAATGGGGTGGTTTTAATTTTAGACCATCTAACTGCTTTCATCAGAGAAAGGACCTAGAGGGGGAGAAAGATGTTGTCTCACCTTTGTTGCCCTTAATTGTCCTTTTTTGATGAGTTTCTGTATTCTCCTCAGTGCTTTCAGCCTTTTATTATAAACTCTAATGGCATCAAATCCAACCTTTGGAAATAAATGTCAGTTACTTAAAAATGTCTGGTTCTTAATGTTCCATGGCATTTGTTATCTGAGGGGTTGTTTCTCTTTTGTTGTTACTTATGTGTCTGTATGTGGATATGTGCACATGTGGGTGCTGATGTCCATGGAGTCCTGAGGAGGGTGTAAGATGCCCTGCAGTTGGAGTGACAGGGGGTTGTGAACTCCCCTACGGAATTCAAACTTGGTGCTTCAAAGAACAGTAAGCTCTCCTAACTGCTGAGCCATCTCTCCAGACCCCAGAATGGCTATTTCTTAAAAGATATTATTTTGAAAGAACCCCTGCCAGAAAAAAAAAGTTATGAGATCTAAGGGAGTAGACTCCTCTTCATCGCCAGGCACCCTACCCCACTAGAGGTGAGGAGCGAAGACTAGCAGGTGAAAGGCTCTAAGCCAGTAAAAAAGACAAAGTTGGGGTGGGGGGAACCATTTATATTGAAGTCTGTATTTTCCTGATGTCACAAAGCCCCTTTGTTATTGGGGGAAGGTCTGTTAGCTTCTCTTCGAGCTAGTTTACTCTGGAAACAGGAAAAGAGCACTCTGGCAAATTCCATATTGCAAGGATAGCATGGCACTGGAGACAAGAGCCTTTTACTCCTTTACCACATTGACACTTTTTACTTTTTACTCCAGCAGGGCAAGCCCTGTCCACTCCTCTGTGCTTACCCCTCTCAGTTAACATACTTCCCCAACACCCAGCACACCCCCTTCCTCACATGATTTGGTTGGAAAGTTTTATGTCAACTTGACACAGGCTATAGTCACTTGGGAGGAGGGACTCTGAACTGAGAAAGTGCTTTCCTATGATTGGCCTGTAGAGAAATCTGTCAGGAATTTCCATGATTAATGATTCACGTGGGAGGACACAGCCACCCCAGGCCAGGAAGTCCTCAGCTGTGTAAGAAAAGCCGAGAAAGTCAGGAGGAGCAAGCTAGTAAGCAGCCATCCTCCCTGGCCTCTGCATTAGCTCCTGCCCTGACTTCCCTCAGTGATGAAAGTGACCTGAGAGTTCTGAGATGAAATCAACCCTTCCCTCCCCAAGTTGCTTTTGGCCATGGTGTTTTATCCCAGCAATAGACACCTAAGAGACACCCAGTATCTGCAACTAAAACTTCTATTGGCTTCTTTTTTAAATATTGTATTTATGTGTGTGTGGATGTGCACATGTGTGCAGGTGCCCACAGGGGCCAGAGGGAAGCCAGATTCCTTCGAGCTGTATTTATGAGCCACTTGATGTGGGCGTAGGATCCAAATGCCTCTCCTCCGCTTGGTCAGGAAATGTTCTTAACAGATGAGCCGTCTTTCAGCCCCTCTTCTATTTCTTAAACATTTAAAACTATTTCTTAAAGTAATAAACTTACTACATGTCAGCAAAAATGTATATTTTATGAATGAAACTATTTTTAAAATAAAAGTCTTCAAGGCATGGTATTGTTCTAAATAGCTGTATCTATTTATGAAAGGCAGCTGGATTCTCTTTCCTGTCTCTGCTGGAGCAACCAGTTCACACAGCCTCTGGAACTCAGTAAATCCTAGCCTCTGACTCTGTGCTTCCTCCCTGCATGCCTCAGACCCAGTTCCAAATCCCTGTCTGTCTGTCTCCCTCTCCTCTCCTGTCCTCTCCTCTCCTCCTCTTCCCTCCCACATTGTAGGTTATATGGAGAATAGATGTTATAATATAGTTGTTTTTTCATTATGTATTTTGCTATTGTGAGACTAGGTCTAAGTCTGTAGACCTGCCTAGCCTATGCAAATCAAGCTGGTCTCAAACTTACAGCAATCCTCCTGCCTCAGTCTCTTGAATCCTGGGATTACAGGCGTGTATTACCACACCATGCCACAACATAGTTTTTAATGCCACACAGAGAACCAAGCCTAAGGCCTTATTTCTAGTTGGTCCCAATAAATAAATCAAATCAGAAAATAAGTTTTAAAAAGTCAAACTTTTAGGAATAAAATACTTACTGTGGACTTGACACATTTTTTAAAACCATCAACATTGCCATAAAAAATAGGACTAGAAAATCTCAGAATCTTCACTCCTTCAGGCTCTTCAAGCTGGTATTTTAAAAAAGAAGGAGAGAGGGAGAAAAAGAGGAGAGAGAGAGAGAGAGAGAGATAAATAAATCTGCACCTCAGATCCTCACCTGATGTTCTGCCTGTTGTGATGACATGGTAGCTCAGGGGCTGGACCTCTGAGATGGGGAGTTACGAGATAAGATGCCCAGAATCAGAGGTCATGAAATCAGTCAGAACCAGAATCAGGATCTCATAGGCTGAATCTCATAGGCTGCTGCTACCCATGTGAAGAAAAGTGGCTCTAAAGGCAATGTGACTGGTCTCTAGCCTCCACAGTTTTAATTTTGCTGAACTTCTTTGGCATGGGGTGGGGTGGGGGTGACAAAAGGGATCTGGAGGTTGTGTTTCAGAAACTTTGCCCTACCATGTTTTTTGTTTGTTTACACCCTAACACAGAGTGGCCACTCCAAGAGTGAATCCCACACAACCAGAGTCTTCTAGTCTTAAGCAGTCACAACCATATCAGTCTATCCCTTGCATATGAGAACACCTTGGCCCTGGGGTTGAGTGACTTGGGCAAAGTCTTGTCAAGACAGAGCTTAGAATCTGGAGCTCCCAAACTAGAAGCTAAGTTTCCCTATTAAGCAGCAAAGCTCAACAGTGGCGCTGAATGGTGCAATTGCACCTCTTTACAGTCTGGTTTATAAACTAGATTATTGCATGTGCTTCTGAGGGCACACTGCTCTGTTACTGTGGCATATTTTACATGGCCTCCTCATCTCCAACACCTGAACTAACTTTTCAGCTCTAGATGATAATTGGGTCAAAATTACAGAAAGGTTATGGAAATAAACAGCTACTAGAATTCCAGGTTGAATATACAGTAATCTATTTTTTTTTTTTTTCTGGAGACAGGGTTTCTTTATGTAGTCCTAGCTATCCTGGAGCTCACTGTGTAGACTGGGCTGGCCCTAACTCAGAGATCCATCTGCCTCTGCTTCCAGAGTGCTGGGATTAAAGGCGTGCACCACCACCCCTTGTCCTTATAGCAATGTTTTTTTAATATTAAGGTAAAAATCAGATATATATATAATATATTAAATATTATATATTAAATATATATTATTACATAACATATATCCATTTTATTCTTTCTTTCTTCTTGGTTTTTTGAGACAGGGTTTTTCTGTGTAGCCTTGGTTGCCCTGGAATTTGCTCTGTAGCTCTATACACCAGGCTGGCCTCTAACTCTCTGCCTCCCGAGTGCTGGGATTAAAGGCATGCACCACCACCACCACCACCACCACCACCACCACCACCACCACCACTTGATTCACTTTTTTTAAAGGTAAATTTATGTTTTCTTAACTCCCTCTGCTTTTGCCTCTTTTTTTCTCCTAGTAGCCACTAACAGTTTTGTTTGTGAGCAGCATCTGACCATCATTGTAATGCATAGTTTCTTTGTTTTTCATTTCCTGGTTCATATATTATTTCTTCCAATTCCAATGATTTAAAAAAAAATCAAATAAAGCTTTGGTGATTGAGAGCTGTAAAGATCTCTTGTTAAAGCTGAATAAAGAAATCTTACAGAGACTTCAGGCCATTTCATAAAGGCTATGGATTACAGACAGAAATATAACTTTTATTAAATGCCTGTTATATTTAATCCCTCATGATTACCCCTCATTTTACACCAAAATAACATTCAACTAGTATGGTCAAAATTCCTGTAATCAATTTATAATGAAAGGCACATTGAATTGAAAGTTCTCAAGACACTCCCAGTGTGCTGATGAACTTTCCCAACAGACATCTTCATGGCTTGCATGCACTTCGCAGGCTAAAAGAGGAATCTGTTGACTCCTTAAATTCCAGCAAGCCCCATGTGACAAGTGTCTCACAAAGGCACTTACATTTTTATAATGTGTGATACTTTTATAGATGTCTGTGCTGGGTACACTTCCAAGGCCAGTCCATGATGGGCTGCAAGAAGAAAAAAGAACATCAAGTTTTTTTTTTTTTTTTTTTTTTTTTGCAACAATCACTTTTTCAACTAAAAAGTTAAAAAGAAATAATAGATATGAAAGAGAACATCATTCTGGTGTCTGGTGTTTTGGACTTGGTCTTTATTGCTGATGACATTTTCCTGTATTTAACTCTGAAATGAACAGCTGGTGTTTGCGTGGAACTGGAGAAAGAGGAAGTAACTGTGAGCCTCTTCTGAGGGCTGCGAGATAATGAGCACTTCCGCCTGCATAACAATTACAGGGGAATCGGCAAGCTTTCTCACATGTAAATCGTCTGGAAGCCCGACCATAACTCTGAATGGCCAGCACTATTATCCTTATTTTTATTAGTTGGTAAAATGATGTTCAGAGGAGTTAGAGAAGCCATTGAGTATAGGAAGCACAGCCTTCATCTTTAGCGTATGGGTCTGTGGCTCCTTCCACTTCTTTATGACTGATGGTAACCTCTTGATTGAGTACAGTGTCTGCAAGTGATCAGATTAGTCTCTGGTTTTAGAAACAGCAGCCTGGGTGAAAGGAGTCCTGCTCGCTAACCAGACCACTGAGTTCCTGTTCCTGGTGCGATCAGATAAACTCCACGTTTCTCTAACTGTGACTGGCGACATATGCTGAATGCAGCCGCTGGAGGAGGACTGTCTGTTTGAGGTCCTCTCAGCATTGTGCTCTCTAGATCCACATTATAATTACTGGAAATTAAATACTGTGAAGGGTACTGCTTTTCATTGGGTAGGATCCTGGTTACCAAACCAGCAACTAAATTGTACCACCAAGTTTTCCCTTGGCTCACAATACTGGACTCATTTTTAAGTTAAACCTCATAAGTTAGTCTTTATCTCTTTAAAAACAAAACAAAACAAAAACAAAAACAAAAAAAACAACTTCCTTCTCAAGCAGACTCAAAAAAACAAAACAAAAAACGGGCACTGAGCATACTCAGCACAGGAGGCAATGTTGTCTACACTTTCTTCACTGTTCCCTAGTAGCAAACTGGGCCCTCTGGAAGCTAATGAACCTTTTCAGGATCCTGTGCTCCTAGGGTGCTGAGGGAGACAGCCACAGGCCTTTCAGGAAGGCACCACCATGCCAGAGGAGGGATGGCGGGCAGAGAGCTGGTGGGTGGGTTAGGAGAGGTGAGCTCATGCTAACCTGAAGACACCCATGCTGGTGTCTTCCCAGGTGTCTTCTTCTATCACTGCCCAAGCACAGGCAGAGAAGAAGCCAGATGTCTGGAAAGGCAAGGAAAAACTAAACGGGTGGGGGCTGTTCTCCCCCAAGTCCATGTGGACACATAACTAAAACCAAAGTCAGAACAAAACCGTCACCACCACAGATCATCTGCCTTCAGCTTGCCTCATCTGCCCTCATAGGCTGTTCCACCGTATGATTCATAGCTCTGCTGCTCCCACTGAGCATATGAACTAATCTTATTTACTTCACATAATTGGGTACGCGCCTCATTTGTCAGATTTGAATGAATCCTGGCTGTAATAACTATTTTAAAGCTCCCAGTTGCATAATGAGTTACTAGCTTCAAATAAGTAAAATGGGTGAGGGTATATAGAGGAGTTGACTTGTTCTGTGCTGGTGTCCAGGTCTGTGACTGGTGCCCAGTTCTGTGACTGGTGCCCAGTTCTGTGCCTGGTGCCCAGTTCTGTGCCTGGTGCCCAGTTCTGTGCCTGGTGCCCAGTTCTGTGCCTGGGGCTCAGTTCTCTGCTGGTGCTCAGTTCTGTGTTGGTGCCCTGTTTTGTGCTGGTGCCCAGTTCTGTGCCTGGTGCCAGTTCTGTGCTGGTGCCCAGTTCTGTGCCTGGTGCCCAGTTCTGTGACTGGCACCCAGTTCTGTGCTGGTGCTCAGTTCTGTGCTGGTGCCCAGTTCTGTGCCTGGTGCCCAGTTCTGTGCCTGGTGTCCAGTTCTGTGCCTGGTGCCCAGTTCTGTGCCTGGTGCCCAGTGCCTCTAATACTTACCTGATTTAAAAATGATTCAAACAAAGCAAGTCCAGTCTTTGACTGAGCTGTCTGCCCTTCACTTTAGCACAGCCAAAGGAGAGCAGGGTGGCGCATGTGAGTAAGGGCGTAGATTCAGGAGTGAGCTGCACTGGGATTTAAGTCTGCCAATTAGTAACCGTAAGCATTAAGAAAGGTCTTTAAATTTTCTGAGCTTACACTTTCTCACCTGTAGAGTAAGACTAATCAGAGCTATTCAACATTGTAAAGTGTTGTGTGTGTAAATCATACACTCATTCAATATATAATTTTATAAAAAGAAGTAATGTCTGTATGCTTATAAAAACAACCTAGGAAAATTCAGGCTGTGCTGTCTATGAGATACCTGTTTTTCTTTTGTTTGTTTGTTTGTTTTGTTTTGTTTTGTACTTACAACTGAACTCTCAGGACCACAGTCAGTAGTCCAAATAAAAGGCCAGCTAGCAAACCCAAGTCCAGCCCCAGAATGATGGACATTATGCATGTAAACACCCAGATAACCTAGAGGGGAATGGAAATGAAAAGAATTATATTAGTTCACCAGATATCAATCAAGTGATTGGAAACAAATCGTCCCAGAGATCTAGGACTGTCACATAGAAGACATCAAGGCTCTGGCTTCCCAACACTACTCCAGTTCTGCTCTGGAGTTCTGAAAGTTCAGGCTAGCCTTCGGAAACGGGGCATAATGATGTGACAGGAGCAGCCAGGACTGAGCTCTTTTAAAGACAGACATGGTAGGTCACTTACGGCATCAGTCTTATTCTGCTTCCACAGACAAGGAACATCACACACCTGCATGAACATCCCTTTCAGATTGGCAATGACGACAGCTGCCAGGACTGACTGCACAGAGAGAGTGGAGGCAGAGGTTTTCATGTGCTGACCTCTAATTTCCGCTCTTTCCCTAATAACAGTCTAGTAAAGAGAAATTGGTGCACAGAAAAGCAGGGTTTTACCTTCTGCAAGGGTTCCAGAAGCTTCCCTAGGGCAACAATGGCAATCATTACAATCCCAGCTGAGATGATGCCAGCAACCTGAAAGACACTTTCCATGAGGTGGGCTCACCCTGCTCACCACAGGTGTGCACAGGAACCTGTGCACAGACACATTTAGTACTTCCTCATCCCTCCCTTTCTGCTCAGTATTTAGAAATATGAGCATTATTTGTTAAGCCCATGCAAAATTAAAAAAAACAGAGCAATATACACCCACTATTGCTGAGAAATTAAAGAAAATATGAAAACTAACCCTGATAAAGTAAAGCTAGTTTGTCTTGAATTTCATTTGAGTGGCTGATGCCTATGAGTATGATTTAGGAGGGAAACCTTCTGGGTGTCTACCATGCCATGAGACAGAGACCCTCACATTCTTGGGAATGAATCCTTATGGCACATTAGATTCTTCTGCATTGTGGAATCAGCAGCCATAATGGTTACTCACATTGTACCTGTAGCTTATAATTGCCATGAACAACCCAGAGAAAATAAATTAAGCCATCTTGTTACAAATTCACAGCGTCACATTGGCACACCACGTCTCCTCTAACAGTTGTAGCGCAGGTTCCAAACATTAACTGAGGCAGTGGTGCAATCACAGGGTAAAGGAAGCTCGGAATCTTTACCTTCGCTGACAAAAAAAGTTCTGCTAAGATCCATAAATAGAGAGAGGCTGAGGGGGTGGGGCCTATTCCTGGTTTGATCAGTTGGCTTGGTCAGTGAATTCTCTGCTGAGACATCATGGGGCATAGCTGAGAAGACTAGAGACTCTGAAACAAAGGAGAAAGATCAGGGAACCAGAAGCAGACAGAGAGAGGAAGGGGAGAGACAACTGAGCGCAAGCACTCCCCGTGCATGGTGTCCTAGCTAAAGAAAGCAGGCACCGCACATGTAAGAGGAAAGCATTCACTCCATCTGGTACACTGGTCATTTATGTTTATATATGGGCAGCCCGGGCAATATCATGACTATATAGGTATAAAAATCTCACTTTGCAGAAGTCTAACTTCTTTTTTCTGTCATCTTCTGACTCCATGGTCCAGGATCCCAGCACCATGGTGAACAATTTCCTCTTTTGTCTAAGGAGCTAGCCTCCTCTTCCCTCCCTTCCTTCCCTCCACTCCTCCCTCCTCCCTTCATGCCTTCTGTTACTTGATCTGTATTATTGAGCCACTTACATATAGGCTCTAGGGATTGGTAAAAGGTATATTTGGAGACAGGGACAACTATCTGCACAACTCTGAGTAGGAGACTGGCCACCCTTCACCAAGGATAGTAAGTCTCTAATTATAGAGCCAAGGCTAAGTTTGATCATAATATTAAAACCTATAAGGGATTAATTATTTGAATTTACTGTATAAGGCTGGTTTGTGGAAAAACGTAGATTTTCTATCTTTAAGAAGATTCAATTCTTGGCAAGTTAATTATTGTTAAGGGAAAGGGTAATTAGAGCTATGGAGTAATTTGTATTAATTACCTTTCTATGAGCCAGCAGAGGTCAGGGGAGGGGTAAGAGAAAGGACAGGAAAGAAGGTTTAGCTCTCTACAGTCTGCAGATGCATAGGACACAGTTCAAGTCCACCAACTCGCATTCTTCTATTTGTTCTTCGACAACGGTATGCTTGGTACTCCTTAGGTGCCAGGCCCAGCACATGTGTCACAGATGCCTCAAGGTGTAGACTAATCAGCGTTTAGTAGTCAGTGTGTGCTAAGACTTTCCATTGTGGTACTTAATCCTCACAGCATCCCTTCGAGGTGGATATAACTAGTAGTTCCATTTATGCTGAAGTTGAGGCTTTGGCATAAAGCATGAGAAGCCACACAAGAGGACTTGATCATTTGTTTGGTCACAGGTCCCTGGATTTCAGTCCACGATCTTAGACTTTTAACCCTAGAACTTTATATACTTTTCAGTAATTAAATATCAAGCCATTTCTGCTTGTTTCCTTCTTCAGTGCTGAACTCCTGGCACCTTTCCCTCCTAAAAATAATACAGGCCAGTGTGTGGCAGAGGATATTAACTTACCAGAACACTATTATCCCCGAGCCCTTTGCCAAGGAGGTCACTTTACACATTATTACTGGGGCAGGCAGATAACAGCAGGAGAATGGCCATGAGTAGCTTGGATCCAGCTGCACCCACTCGGGACCATGTGTCCTGGGGAGCTTTTCAGTGCCCACCATTACAGCAAGCAGCAGGGTTCCAGCTGCTCACAGCTTCAGCTGCAGCAGGCACAGCTCTGGAACTGAGCTCTGACACACTTCCCCTTGACAGCAGAGCCCTGCTTTTGCTTTTTAGTGCATACTGGGTTCCTTTATTGCTTAAAATAAAAGGTTAAAAAAAACCTCTAAGAAATAAAATTAAATTTTACCTTAATGTAGCCAAAAAATTGGGAGAGGCCATTTTAATAGGAGAGGAACATCACATATATGTCGTGACGTCATCTGCACTATGGTGACATCATCTGTATTGTGGTAACGTCATCCATATTGTGGGTACATCAAATGTGCTGTGAGAACATTTACAGTTCTCCCTGGGAAAGTCATTGCTTTCTTGGTATTTGCTTTCATTCTTATGTCTCTGCCTTAACAAAACCCTTGAAGACTTTTTTTTTTTTACAGCAGTTTGGGCTTATTCTCTTTTATACTCTTGGAGTTTTCTTTCTTTCTTTTTCTTTTTTTCCCCTTAAACAATGTTCTTTCCTATGTCAGGAAGCTAAAGCCTTCTGAGCCTGCACAGAAGTACAGCTGAGTCTACCTTCAAGCAAACTCTGAGAGTGTTTCCTGGGCTTTCTCACCAGCCTCAGGAAGAATTAGCTGGTTTTTTGGTTACCTTGTGAAAGCAACAACCAAAAGCCATATTTAAGAGGCAAAATTAAAGGCATATTCAGAACTTCAAGAACAGAAATATCACTCAGGAAGGAGTGCCAAAATGTTACAGTAAAAAAATTCTTGTCTAATAAATTGTTCCTCTAAAAGCCTCTAGAGGAAATTCCTGACTTTTGAAAAGGAAATATGAATAGAAAGTACAATAACTCAGGCTGGAGAGAGCTCAGTGGTTAGGCGCTCTGGCTGCTCTTCCCAAGAACCTAGGTTCCACTCTCAGCACCCACAAGGTGGCTCACAGCTATCTGTAACTCCAGTCCTGGGGCATCCAACCCCTCTTCCACTGCGTATATGTGGTGCTCATATATCTGTGCAGGTAAAACACCCAGACACATAAATTTAAAAGAATATATTATAACTTGCAAAGCTGCAACGAGCTTCATTTTCCCACAGTGGTACTGGGGATGAGACTCAGGATCTCAGACATGCAGAGCAAGCATTCAGATACACTGAACTGTATCCTCAACCTTCTTCTCCCTTTTTCTTTTGAGACAAGGTTTCACATCATTGTCCCAGCTGGCCTCAAATTCATTCCATAACCCAAACCGAGATTTCTTGTACTTGGGATCAATCCTGCCTCAGACTCCCAAGTAGCTGGAATTACTGGCCTGTGCCACCAGGCTAAGCTTTGGGAAATGTTTGTTTGTTTGTTTGTTTTTTAACCAGGCTCTTGCTCTCCCTAGATAACAAACTAATAAACAGCATCATTCTTCTTTACTTATGAATGTGACTGTCCCTGGTTAACCAGGTGAATGTAGTTATGAGCCAGGTGAACATTGACACATTAGGATTTGGCAATCACAGTTTCAGGAGACTATATATGTTGCTTTTAAAGAAGTTTTTGATGAGGGTTGGGCAAGTCAAAGAGATGAGGCCCAAACTGTACCAGTTGAGGCAGCACAAGTCCCTCTCTCTTGAAGGCTAATTGTCCTGTTCAGTCTTGTGGAAGCCTCTCTCAGCCACCCACTTTCTGTTCCTTGCTCCCAGTGTTACCCGCTGTCACTGCATACCTGTGTCTTTCCCCCAGTGCTCTCCTGGACAGCAGTTCGAGACAGAGCAGTGGTTGCCACAAAACAGGAGAAGAATCCAGAGAAGACGTTGCTTATCCCAAAGGCAATGAATTCCTAAGGGAGAGACTAGGTTACAGTGCTATTGCAAAGAGAATGCTTGCCAGACCCTCATCAAGTGTTCATCAGAGGGTTGGTGGATACAGGTACCTGCTGTGCAAACCTGGTGATGTGAGCTCAAGTTCCAGAACCATGCAAGGTGAAGAGAGAGACCTGACTCCACAGAGTTGTCCTCTGACCTCCACATCTGGTCTGTGGCACACATGCACACACACATCATGTGTAATCACATAGCAATCATTTAAAAGGGAAATGAATTACCAAGAGTTACTTGGCCACTTGAAAAGCTCTTTGTCTAGCATAATAGTTAACTTTTATATTGTCTTTGACCTGACTGAATTAGCATTTTTTAATTAGTGCTTATGCTGGTTAGTTTTATGTCAACTTGACACAAGCTAGAGTCATTTTGGAAGAAGGAACCTCATTTGAGAAAATACCTACACCAGAGTGGCCTGTGGCCAAACATGTAAGGCATTTATTTTTTCTTCCTTCCTTCCTTCCTTTCTTCCTTCCTTCCTTCCTTCCTTCCTTCCTTCCCTCCCTCCCTCCATCTCTCTCTTCTTTCTTTCTTTCTTTCTTTCTTTCTTTCTTTTTCTTTCTTTCTTTCTTTCTTTCTTCCCTTCCTTCCTTCCTTCCTTCCTTCCTTCCTTCCTTTCTTTCTTTCTTTCTTTCTTTCTTTCTTCCTTTCTTTCTTCCTTTCTTCCTTTCTTCCTGTCTTTCTTTTTTCTAGACAAGGTTTCTCTGTATAGCCTTGGCTATCCTGGAACTAGCTCTGTAGACAGATAAGGCTGGCCTCGAACTCACAGATCTGCTTGCCTCTGCCTCCCAAGAGTTGTGATTAAAGGTGTGCACCACTACTGCCCAGCTTGTAGGGCATTTTCTTGATTAATGAGTAATTGGAGGGCTCAGCTTACTGTAGCAGTGACATCCTAGGGCTGGTGGTGGTCCTGGGTGCTATAAGAAAGCAGACTGAGCAAGTCAAGGGGAGCAAACCAGTAAACCATACTCCTCTATGGCCTCTGCATCGGTCTCCAGCTTCCTGCCCTGACTTCCCTGGATGGTAGACTGCAAGCTGGAAACTGAAATAAAACCCTTTCCTCCTTAGGTTGCTTTTTGGTCATGATGTTTTATCAAAGCAATAGAAACCCTGACCAAGACAATGTCACTTTAGCTTATTTCTTAAGAAGCAGAATGACTTAGTTTGCATATGTGGTGATATATTGTGTACCCTAATAAACTTATCTGGGGATGAGAGGACTGAGCCAGTCACTAGATTAGACATAGAAGCCAGACAGTGGTGGCACACACCCTTAATTTTATCACTTGGGAGGCAGAGATCTGTCTGGATCTCTGTGAGTTCAAGGCCACACTGGAAACAGAGCCAGACAGTGGTGGCACATACCTTTTATCCCAGTACTGGGAAGTAGACACGCCTTTAATCCCAGGAAGTGACGTCAGGGCAGAGAAAAGTATATAAGGTGTAAGGAAACAGGAACTCACTCTCATTCAGCGGAGGATTTCATAGGGGTAAGAACTAGTGGCTTGCTCTCTGCCTCTCTGATCTTTCAGCTTTTACCCCAATATCTGGCTCTGGGTGTTTTATTAATAAGACCGTTTAGCAATTTGTGTTACATGCATATTTCAAAAAAAAATTTAATTAGCAAGTACAGGAGAGAAATCAACTCAATAAAGGCCAGTGAAAGAAAACATCAGTTTCCTTAGATGATACCAAAATCTCCCCCAGTTGTGTTTTCTTTACTTGTTTTTAGCCTTATAAACTCAGCTCAATAAATAGGTGACCATACCTGGTTTCCATCGATGAGATAATCATGCTTGGTGGCATAGACTTTTCCTACAGACACAGCAATAGCATAAGCCACCACAGCAATTGAAAAGGATGCAGCCAGCATGTCAGAAAACAGGCCCACAGACGGAAGTGCAGGAGGCAAGAACCTAGTAAGTGAAAAAATCTTGTGAAGATTTGACAGCTTTTTCCCAGCTTTACCAAATGCTGTGTCTACTCAGTCACATGGTACACACACAAGGACATGACCCAAGCAAACAGAAGCACATGGGATGCATAAATAAGAACATCTGCTTTTTTTTTTTTTTTTCAAGACAGGGTTTCTCTGTATAGCTTTGCGCCGTTCCTGGATCTCGCTCTGTAGACCAGGCTGGCCTCGAACTCACAAAGATCCGCCTGCCTCTGCCTCCCGAGTGCTGGGATTAAAGGCGTGCGCCACCACCGCCCGGCATCTGCTTTCCTAGTTTTTAACCAGAAGTTAGTGTTAGCTCACTGGCTGTTGGAGAGAATTTTTTGTTTTGTTTTTATACTCTGACATGAATAAATCTGTCACTATGGATTCTTTACTACAACTCCATCCATGCCACTTCACATGTAACATTTTTCCTCACATAATTTCACCTTCAAGGTTCTTTGGCAATACAAGAGATTCTAGGTATGTTATAAATTTAGTCTGTGTGAAAAGATGTCAATTCTGTTGAAGAAACAAAGGCTATATGACACTGAAAGAACTCAGCAGGAAGTTCCAAAGAACCATGACATTTAAATCTTAATTTTAAGACAGAAAAAACCCTCATCCCACATTAAATGTATATGATTATAATCATCCCCCACAGTCAGTAAAAAAAAAAAACACTGTGTTTTCACAGACTATTCAACAAAGCCAAAGTTTTTCTATAAACTATTCAAAAATGAAACATATAAACATGATTATGAAATTTGTCCCCAAATGTAAAAGCTTGGAGGAAGAGCTTCATTTACTTCTAGAATATCCGTATTGTGCAATCCCAAAAGTCCCCAGTCATTAAAACAAATCCCACCACCTGTGTATCTTGTAATTAAATAAAGTGGGAATGGAAGTTTTAGAGACAAACTGTAGAATGTTTCGAGCTGGTGAGCTCTCCAGAGTGCTGTTGAACCTGTCTCTCTCGTTTTGATATGAGAACTGCAACCCGGAAGAGAGAAATGAGTGGCTTGAAGTTTTAGTGGGTCCATGTTGGAGATTGGACAATTGGGTAGTAAGACCTGCCAGGGCTCTGCTGTTGTGAAGACTTTCCTCCAGCAGGGTTAATTTTTTTTCTCCCTCATCTCTTCTCCTGTCCTATGTGTAGACTCCAGAATGGACTCCAGCTATAGACAGTCAGCATGTTAGAAACAACCTATACTTGAGTGACTCAGTATCTCACCACCTGCTAGTCTAGATCTGACCTTAGATCTCACTTAATAGGATGCTTCCAAGACCCAGTCAAGTCTACTTCAGGTCACTAGGACTCTATCAAAGCTAAACTGTGAAAAGGTTTTAGTTTTGATAGCATGATGCTCACTGCCTCCATGACTGTAGTGTTCTCCAAATATTACCCAATCCTTAATTACTAAGGTTAAAAATTGTGAGGTATGAAGTCAAAGGACTTCAGTTATTGAGTGACTTTATGACTTTGGGCACATTGTTTAAACCTACTAAATTGTTTCATTGGCTGTCATAGGATGCCTATGCCCTCTTCTCATAAAATTTAATGAGATATTATTGTGTAACTCCTTTTTACTAGTGGTGCTCAGCTTAGGCTGGAAGAAGCTAAGCTTGCCACATTCTCGTCACTGCTTCTGCTTCCTGGTTGGACTCCAAGGGTGTCAATCATTTGTCCAAAGTAAATTAGGGGAGGCTCTATCTGCCCATCTTCTAACGGCCCAATTAAGAATATATTCTATTACCTGACTTAACACTTCCTAAACTACACGATCACCCCATGGGCTTGTTAGCCCTAGCCAATCCAGTCTGACCCAGTCATACAGAGAAAGGAGCATATGAATACATCCTTATCCTGAAGACATGAGTGTGGGGAATGGTGCTTCCCAAAGGGCCCAATAATACACAAAGCGGGGGTCACATGTGGTAAACATGCTAACTGGATGTTACACTTCAGGTTGGTTGTGCATGTTTGGCAATTGTTCCCCAACCCAGCTAAACAAGGGCAGGAATCCACAGGAAACAGTCATCTCCATTCTATCATGCTATCTTTCCTGGGCCACACTTCCAAGTTCACTGCAAAGGACACCAAGTGAAAACAGTGGCAATTAATACGACAAAGAGCACATCAGGTACTGACTGGTAAGAGAGGAACCAGTCACTGAGAGCAGAGACAAACTGGGGTAGTAAAGGGAATGACATTCAAAGCACAAATGTGCTTTCTCTCTCTCTCTCTCTCTCTCTCTCTCTCTCTCTCTCTCTCTCTCTCTCTCTCTCTCTCTCTCTCTCTCACACACACACACACACACACACACACACACACACACACACACACACACAGTGGAGACAGGTAGGCTGGAAGAAAAGCACATGTTGAAATGAGTGAAAAACTGGACACACTAAGAACTGCAGGATGAGGATCAGCAGCATCAGGAGAGAGGCAGGCTGTGACTGGGGGGACAGAGAAGGCTCCAGGAGTGAGTGAATCCCTGGAGACACTAAGACACTGACTAGACAAAGATAGGTTGTGTTTTTTAACCAACAAGGAATAGACAGGTGGACAGAGCCACCCTGCTGATCACCAGTCCTCTCAACCTCACACCCATCTGTTGATAAGGTTTCTATTTCATCATTGTGACCACTCTCCTTATCTCTTACGTTACTGGAATGGATTCCTCATCTGGTTGCTTAGCTGCTTTAATTCACTGTCTACAGTGCTAACAAAAGTGGCCACTCTCAGGCTTTCAAACCCTCCAACAGTTAACTTTCATGGTGGTTTCTTTGCTGATGCTCACCTCTCACCTCCTCTATCTTATTTTATGCTTCAGTTGCAATGAACTCCTTGCTATACCTCCAAAGTGCCACTTTCTTTGTTACAGCTGCATGTTTTATTCAAGCATCCCCATGACCTTTACCCATTACTGTCCTGCCTTACTTACTATTTCCTCCATTATTTGGCTGATGAATATCATCCTTAAAATATCAAGAAGTTACCTTTCTTCTAATGCATAGCAAGCTCCACCACAGCACTTATTCCTGGAGGATGACCGTGTCCTCACTAGCCTGGGAACTACCCACTGAACATCCAGGACACTGCCTACCACTTGGTAGGTGCTTCCACACAGATAAGTGAGGAGTATAAGTATCTGAGGTATTATTTTGTGTACAAATGAGAAATGTCAGGCAAATAATATAACAGGTTACTTTAGTCATCTGATGGGTGTCTAGGTTTCAAAAAGATAAGCACAACTGTCTCTTCAATCAAAAACCAAGACATTCAGAAGAGCTGGTGAACCACAAAGCAAACAGAAATATTTGAAATATTTTGATGGAAATGTACTGAAGCAAAACATTCTTAAGATTGTGTTTGAGTATCAGAGTACAGAAAGTAAGGAAAAGCTCTAAAAATCAAATCAAAACAAATAGCCTTCCATAGTGGAATATGTACAGTGGGACACAGGAGCTAATCCAAAGAGTCTTCAATGGCTCTAAATAGACAACTTGATCAACAAAAAAGTAGCATTAAAGTATACCTCAGAGAATGACATGACTACTCATGAGGTCACTGACATAATAGATAAATGGGGAGATGAGACAAGCTTAAGTAGACAAGACAGTCACGGTTTGGGGCTATGTAATGGGAGGTTGTTCTTGTTCTGAGGACTGAATGTCACCCCAACCTTCAGAGAGACAAAAGGAAGCTGCCAGTAGCAATCTGACTGGACACGCAGGAAGGAGGTTCCTTTTCCTTCTCTGGTGATGTCCTCAGCCATCAGAGCATTCTCATTCCTACTCTGGTTTCTCATCTTTTCATGTCACCCTTTCCTTTGCAGATGTGTTAATATCTTTAGAATTGTTTCTGGGCCACCAAATTAAACAGCCATAACCTTTCTTGTGGCTTATTTGTAATGACATGGCTTAGGGGGTTTATTCCCTCAGCCAATGTTTTCAGAGAGCCCACTGTAAGGTAGATGTTGTACTAGGGAGACAGTGCTGAATGCCACAAATGGGGCACTACTATGAAATGTCCCCTAAAGCTAAGTTAGCAATCAGAGCACTAAGCATGACTAAACCAAAGGGCAGGAAGCTAGAGGTCTTGCAAAGGGAGCAGCTAGGAATTTCAATGTGAGGAAAAGTGAGTCCCCACTGCAAGCACTGGAGCAGAGATTCACGGGTCTGGGCTGCAGTCCATCCCTGGTCTGTGCATACGGGAAGCTAAGGAAAGAGATCTGCATTTACACATTTCTACATAAGCATTTGTGACTACAAAACAACTCGGTCTTTAGGGTGGAAATTCCGCAGCTCGTTTCATTGCGACTTTCAGCACTGTTTCCTCCAGTCTTTTACAACCTTTACTAACTAAATGTTGTTTTCTAGTGTAAAATTTCTCAAATTTACCTGATCAGAAGAATCACTTGAGACACTTTTGAAAAAGAATTGTTTCCAGGCCTCCTCCAGACAGCCTGAATCCACAGGTTTGAGGTAGAAAGCAGGAAGGTAACACACAATTTAGGTGTTACCAAAGGGTACATTTGTAACACTGGAATGGGCAATATGTAATACAAGTTTCATGTACCAGTTGTTTTAAAAATATCTTTAAATTGTTATTAGAAAAACTGTAAGATATTCACTCAAATGAGATCATTTGCTGTGGAAACACTGAGGAGTTTACATTACAAGCATGGAAATGCTAGGACAATGTGGGGCCCACCCACATTAGAAGGAAGAGAAACTACGGTTTATTGATTGACCCCAAGTCTACTTACAAATGCTACAGTCAGTGTTATAGATGTGGTAAATATGTGGGCTTCCTCTTAACTGTAGTGTGAGCCGCTTCATCTGCTCTGCATTTTTATGAGACCTCTCAGGGACATTTCACAAGCTTGAGTTGAAGCTTCCTCTGTGTAATTACCCTTGTCTTACAGAAGAACTTTCCCGTTGACAGTGACATAGAGGATTAAGGACCTTGGCCTTTTACTCTTCTAATTCACAAAATGTCTAAATATATATAAAATTTACACGAAAATAATACAACTTATAGGTATGAAAGATAGCATTTTTATCTGTGGTTGATTACATTGTAGAGAATTTAAGCCAGACATCTGAGATTCCTTAAACAAATTGTTCATAATGTAATCAATGCTAATTGTGATATGCTCACATTACACTGTAATTATACATACATGCTTTAATCAGGAGTCTAGCTGAATATACATGTCCTGCCACACTTTAAGAAAATGGAAGCCGGGCGGTGGTGGCGCACGCCTTTAATCCCAGCACTCGGGAGGCAGAGCCAGGCGGATCTCTGTGAGTTCGAGGCCAGCCTGGGCTACCAAGTGAGTTCCAGGAAAAGGCGCAAAGCTACACAGAGAAACCCTGTCTCAAAAAACCAAAAAAAAAAAAAAAAAAAAAAGAAAATGGAGCATGTAAGGTCTGCTTTTAACAACTGGCCTGAACTTGATCTCCACATGCACTGTTCATCTGATGTTTTGTGCACATGGCATTTCTTCAAGATCACATGAAAGTAAGACTATCAATGGTGAAGTGAAACCGGCAATAAAAAGTTTCATTTAACAAAGTACTGCCTTAGTTTATTAGCGCTATCTGAGAGGAACAGCACACTCACCCACTTGGGATGGACTTAACAATGCCAGCATTGTAATTTTTTTCCAAGTTGGCCCCGTAGGAAATGGCAGTGGCAATTATTGTCTGAAATAAAAGAAAAGAAAAAAATGGATAAAACCAACTCCATTGGCCTTGGCAATTCCTTGCTTGTCAAGTGTTAATTAGTACTGAATTTTTTGACCATTTATTCTACTTACCACGATCACTTCTATAGGAATAGGGACTGGAATTTTGTGCTTAAATCGATCATTTAATTCCTTAACAGCCATACAGATGATGATGGTGAGTAACCCAGCAATGAAATCTGCAATGTTGGTGTCACTGATATTTTGAAAAATCTCAATGAGTGTCTGTAAAGATAAAATGGGTGTATATGACATATGCTATACAGACATATACATAAGAGCAATTCTTCCACATGAACAGCACATATGAGTCTTAAAAACGGGACTGACAAAAAAAATCTTAAAAATGGGACTGGCAAGATGACTCAGTGGGTTAAGGTGATCACTGACAAGGCTGATGGTATGAGTTCCATCCTCACAATCCATATGATGAAGGAGAAAACTGACTCCTGAAAATTGTTCTCTGACCGCCATACCTTTGCTGTTGCACACATGAAAGAAAACACACACACACACACACACACACACACACACACACACACACACACACACGTACACACACACATGTACACACACACATGTACACATACACAAATAAATGAAGTTATTATTTAAAAGAGTATTGGCTAATACAAGGACCATTAAGCACATAAAATTTCTAAAATATACATATGCATAAATAAATAATATAAAGCTATTATTAAAATTGTAAAAATGTATCAACTAATACAAGGAACATTAAGAACATGAAATTTCTAACATATACACACATATACAAAGTTACTAATAGTGATTAACTTTGAGAGGTGATTTTTACATTCTTGTGTTTGTTTATCTGTATTTTTTAGGATAAAGTGGAGAATTTTTCAAGGAAAACGGTGGAATGCTATCCTTAACTTACAGAAAAATAAATCTTTGTCTTAAGGAGATTGTATCATGCTATTAGGTGGGATCTTTGTAGACAGGAGGGCTACTGAACCTGACATCTGACAAGATAATTTTCTTTGGTCCCAGTTGGCATCCTAAGTAATGTTCTTCTCCCAACCTAAATGATGTGGAAAATAACAACAAAAAAAACCCCAAAAGTGTTCCATATGGAAATCCAAGTGGTACTGATCAATTCTTTATGGTAAATTAAAACCATTGAATGGGTACATAGACCAAGTATATATTGTTTAGAAATTAGCTTAACACTAAAATCTATTTTCTCCAAGTGGGCAGAAGAGCCAGCTCAAGGAAATTCATTTTGTTTTGTAAACACAAGGTCCCTGGAAACCAGAGTCTCCTTCAAGGGAGTCAGCAGGGAGACTCCCAGGCAGAACACTGGCATCTTTGTTCTGTTGCAGCTCTTAGGTAAGTCATGTCTCAAGGAGGCATCTCTCAATTCTATGAGACAAGTCGTGCCAGTGGCTACTTTCCTTTGAATAAATCTGTTTATAGCTAGGTTTTAATTTGACATAAAGGAATGGTGCATCTTAGGAGTTAAAACATGTATCTTGGTTTGTTTTTACAGAGAAGTGAAATACTGTAAATAATTATCATCATAATCTGGTGTCAGGCATATAAGGAATATCAATTTATTTTGCCAGCAGCCTTGCCTGTCTGGAGTGCTTCAGGAGTAAGGATGGAGGGTCTTTTACAAGCAAAACTTATCTCAGCAAGTGTTTCGGCTAGGATTTAGGTATTTAATTTGGAGGAAGCCTTTTCCACTTTTACATTAAACCCAATATATCATCTTAACTCTGCTTTCCAAAGACACTTAAAATCGTTAGAGACAGATACATTGGGCAACAGGATGAAACAGGTGGTTACAGAATGAAAGAAAAACTGGGAGAAATCCTACAACAACAGAATCCCAGGATGTCTCACACAGGAGGCAGTAACCCTGCTACCTACTCCAGAGGCTTGTGTCATTGTGGCCAGTTGACTCTTTACATAATGAATTTGCTTTTTTAAAAATATCAATTATTTGAGAAATTCATACAATGTGTTTTGATCATACTCACCCCTCCCCAACTCCTCCCAGATCCGCTCCCATCTCGCTATCCACCCAATTTTGTATTCTTTTCCCTGCCCAATTGTGTTGCACAAACACTCTTGGGTGAGGGGCCTGCCCTTATATAATCAAGTTTCTAATGAGAACTCTTATCAATTCATGAGCTAGGTATAATGTTTTAGCAGTTTATACAATGAAGGTTTACTTTTCAACTTGAAACAGGAAAGTTAATTTGGAAATCATTTGTCTGACTACTATCCTAATACTCAGGAGGCAGAGGCAGGAGAATCTTGAGTTCAAAGCTTGCCTGGACTGACTCTTTACAATAGAGTACAACAGAGTCCAAGAGCAGCCCCCCCCCTCTCTCTCTCCCTCCCTCCCTCCCCACCTCTCTCTCCACCTTCCTCCACCTCCCTCCCCCTCATTCCCTCCCTCCCTCCCCACCTTTCCCTCTCTCCCCTTCCCCCACTTCTCTTTCTCCATTTGGACCAACTATCCTGATCACAAAAATATTTCACTTTACAAAACTCACTACAGGGGGAGCTGGAGAGATGGCTGCTCTTTCAGAGGTCTGAGTTCAATTCCCAGCAACTACACAGTGGTTCACAACCATCTGCAATGAGATCTGGTGCCCTCTTCTGGCCTGGAGGCAAACATGCAGACAGACACTGTCTACATAATCAATCAATCAATCAATCAAGCTTTTTTTTTTTTAAATCACTACAGTGGCTGGGGAAATGGCTCATTCAGTGAAGAGTCAGACACTCAAATATAAACACCTGAGTTCAGACCCTCAGCACCCAGATAAAAAACAGTGCTGCAATGTCTGTTCATAACCCAGCACTAGGGAAGCTGAGGTAGGTGGATCCCTGGAGCTCATTGACCAGCCAGCCTAGGCAAATCAATGAATTCAGCAAGAAGCCCCGTCTTGAAAAACAAGGTGGACAGTGATCCAGGAAGACATCTGACGTCAGCCTTGGCCTCTACACACGTGTAAACGCGTATTTGTGCACACACTCACATGAATATGTACACACACACACACACACACACACACACACACACACACACACACATTTTTAAAATCACTCCATGATTCTTACTTAATTTTGAAAACTGTCCTAGTTTGATTTCTGTTACTATGATAAAATGTTGTGGGCAAAAGATACTTGGGAAGGAAAAAGTTTGTTTGGCTTACAGGTCCACCACTGGGGGAAGCCAAGGAGGGACTGATGTAGAAACCACTGAGGAACACTACTTACTGGCTTGCTCAGCTTGATTTCATATACAGACCACACACCAGCCCAGGAACGGTACCACCTACAATGAGTTGTGCCTTCCCCATATTAATCATTAAGCAAGAAAATGGCCCACACGTATGCTCACAGGCTAATTTGATGAAGGCAATTCCTCAGTTGAGGTTCCTTCTTCCTGGGTGACTCTAGTTTGTGCCAAATTGGCAAAAACCAGCACAGAATTATTTAAATCTTTGAATAAGGAGAACCTCTGGGGGCTAGAAAGATGTCTCAGAGGTTAAGAGCACTGGCTGCTGTACCAGAGACTTGGGTTTGATTTCCAGCACCCACATGGTGACTTAAAACGATTTGTAACCCAGTCCCAGAGGATCCAGTGCTATCACTGGCCTCCATAGACATTGCATAGACTTGGTGTACTGCCCACATGTGTAGGCAAAGCACCCATTCATAGATATAAAATAGATATAAAATAAAAGTGAAAAAATTGTAAAGAATCCCTGGTGTATTTTAAATGCTACAAAAAGCAAAATCATACACCTGCATTGAGCGAAGCATTTGTCTTATATTGCCTGCATTGTGAGTTTAGCATTTCTTGTGGAAAGCTCTACAATAGAAAGTTTAATCTGTATAGGAATAAACCTTGGCTATATAAATGAAAATGGCCTGACAGTTGTCAATAGAAACAATTTCCAAAAATGCACTGAACAGTAATTATAATTTAATTTTTTGTCAGAGTTCTAAAATTATAGATAAATCTAATTCTGTAGCTTAGCCTAGTATTCTAAATACAGGTCAAATGAAGATATCAGCTATGGATAATATTTTATTTATTATGATGTTTGAAGAATTTTAAGACCACTTTATGTGGATAATAGTTCTCACCAAGCACGAAGCCATAAGGGAAAACATGTGCTTAGTATGTATCTGGGAAAATGCACGGGGTAACTTTCTTCTAGTTCTTCTCTGTATGACAGTGACAACCTTTTACAGTCACCTTCACCATCCATCCAGCCTTCCCTGCTCCAGACACTTTCTGTATAAATAGATTGCCCCCTCAGTATTACTTTCTTTATTATAATGGTGTAAATTTTGCACACAGAAATGAGTTAAAACTAACAATTCTATCATGCTAAGCTTTACTTTCAAAACTCACTTTTGCAGTAGATAGCTCCAAAGGAACAACACCTTAGGTTGTCTGCCCTTCCACACACAATTAAAATCTCAACTTTGGGCAGAACTTTTTTCAGGGCAGGCTTACTTTTAGAGGAGGCAGTGGTATAGGTACCATCAATTAACAACCAAGCAAAAAAACAAAAAACAAAAAACAAAAAAAAACCCTAAAAAACAAAAAAACCACCCTTGTTGTGGTGGTTTCAATAGGCATGGTCCCCATAGACTCATGTGTTTGAATGCTTGGCCCATGGGAAGTGGCACTATTAGGAAGTAAGCTTTGAGGTCTCTGATACTCAAGCCAATCCCAGTCTCTCTCTCTCTCTTTTCTTCCTGCTGCCTACTGATGCAAATGTAGAACTCGTGGCTCCTTCTCTACCACGATGTCTGCCTGCATACTGCTGTGCTTCCCACCATGATGATAATGGACTGAACTTCTGAACTTTAAGCCAGTCCAATTACATGTTTTCCTTTATAAGAGCTTCCGCAGTCATGGTGTCTCTTCATAGCAGTAGAAACCCTGACTAAGACACTTGTGTACAAAAACAACTTGTCATGGTTAGTTTTTGTCACCTTGACACAAACTTGGACATACCTGGGAAAAGGTCATCTCATTTTGAGAATTACCTCCATCAAATTGATCTGTGGGACATTTTCTTGATTGCTGACTGATGTGGGAAGGTACAGCCCACTGTGGGCTGTACCATTCCTCAGATGGTGGGCCTGCACTGTATAAGAGAACAAGCTGAACAAGCCATGGAGAACAAGCTAGTAAGCAGTGATCCTCATGATCTCTACTTCAGTTCCTGCCTTGGTGTCAGTATTTATTGAATAGATGAGGTGAATGAATAAAAATAAAGGAATAAATCAAGAGCTGATAAAGTGTAAAAACAAGATGTGTCAGGGATGCAAAAAGTAACAGAACCTGTATCAAAAATGGGAAGCCTGGCAGTATTGAGAAGAATTCCTGAGGGCCAGGAAGAAGTGCTGTGGGAAGTCTTTCTGTATGCTGTGAATATGTGTGGTGCCCATTGGATAATAAATAAAGCTGCATTGGCCTATGGCAAGGCAGGATGAAGCCAGGCCAGAAAATCTAAGAGAGATAGTGAGAAGAAAAAGGAGAGTGGGAGGAGACGCCAGCCCGCCCGCCACCCAAGGAGCAACAAGATGCCAGCAGACTGGTAATGTCACGGCCACGTGGCAACATATAGATTAATAGAAATGAGTTGAGTTAAGTTATAAGAGCTAGTTAGCAAGAAGTCTGACCCATAGGCTATACAGTTTGTAAATAATGCAAGCCTCTCTGTGTTTACTTGGGACTAAGTAGCTGCAGGATGCAGGTGGGAGAGATTTGTCCTGCCCATGAGGCCAGGCAAGACTGGAGAAACTTCCAACTACAAAGAAGGCTCAGCAGGGAAAGGTGCTAGCCATGCAAGCCTGCAAACCTGGGTCTGATCCCCAGAACTCATGTAAAAGTCCGGTTGTGTGGCCCGTGTCTGTAATCCCAGAGCTGTTACCCGAGAAGGGAGACACAGACAGAACACTCACCCAGAAGCTCAGGAGCCAGCTAGCCTGGAGTGTGCAACTCACCCACAGAATCATCAAAAGAAACTCTGCCACAACAAGCTGGAAGATGAGAACCAACTTCTAAAAGTTGTTTTCTGAGCTCCCTGTGCACCCAGTGTCATGCATGCATACAAAGTAAATAAATAAGAACTGATGATCGGGGGGAAAGCAAAATAACCATAAATCATGCTGAATCAAAACCCAGCCTGTTAGGCCCCAAAGGTGAGCCTATTGCAATCACTCTGCTAAGTGGACAGAAGAGCAAACTGCCCTCTGGATTCATCTCTGAGGCACACCTCATTAGAGAAGTTTCTGCGTGCAGTGTAGTGGTTAACTCACAAGTGACCCAAGAGCAGAGAGTAAGTGTCAGAGGACTGCTCAGCTGCAAATGGGATGTCTATATTACCGCCCACAAGGCTCAGTGACTTACAGAAAAGGGGCAGAAATCAGGCAGTGAAACAGTGTCTTCTGGAAGTGACAGGACCATTTCACCCCTGACCTCACAGCAACTGTGGCTGCTTGAGTAAGACCTACACATTTAAGTCAATCAAAATTCTGGCACGAAGTGAGGAGCTTAGGATTCCTCACCCTTGACTGAAAAGCTGCTGGCAACTGATGGATGCTGATTTTCTTTAAGGGTGTGGCCCTGGCCGGTCAGCCTTGCTGCAGCAGACACCTCTGCACCCAGGAGTACATGGGCAGCACAAAGTGGACGCGGTCAGTTATTTAAAAGTAAAAAATAAAAAATAACTGGGCATGATAGTTCACACTTTGGCAGAGACCCATAGACCTCTGTGAGTTCAAAGTCAGCCTAATCTACATAGCAAGTTCCAGGCCAGACAGGGCTACATAGTGAGACCCTGTCTCAAAAAATTAAAAAGAGGAAATGAAGTTCACAGTGGGTGAGGATATAAGGATGGATCTGGGAGGAGTTAGGGGGAGGAATGGAAGCTGAATATATGTAAAATACATTGTATGAAATTCTCAAAGAATTAATAAAAATACTATATCTAAAAAGGAAGAAAAATGGCCTATGCTGATGTCTCTGATGGGCTGGGCCTCATCAAAGCAGACAGTAAGTTCAGTGAGGTCCATTCTATGACAATGAAACAACACTAATAAATTGAGTTCTATGTAGCCAGATATTGTACTTATTGCTTTTTATGGCTGGAGAGATGGCTCAGCAGTTAGGAGCACTGACCGCTCTTCCAGAGGAGCTGGGTTCAGTTCCCAGAACCCACACAGGGGCTCAGAACCATCTGTAATTCCAGTTCCTGGGGATCCAACACCTTCTTCTAGCCTTAGCATCAAACATGCACATACTACATAGATATACATGCAGACAAAACACACATAAGCTTAACAAAATATGTTTAAAGTTTACAAGACAGGGTCTCACTATTTTATAAACCTGGGTAGCCTCAAATTTGAGATCCTCCTGCCTTAGTTTCCCATGTTCTGGGTTTACAAGTATGTGTCGTGTGCCTGATGTAAATGTTCTTAACATTGCTACTCTAAGAAGTGGCCATTATCATTACCCTGATTTTAAAACTTAGGACCACCAGGTGGTGGTGGCACACGCCTTTAATCCCAACACTCGGGAGGTAGAGGCAGGTGGATCTGTGAGTTTGAGGCCAGCCTGGGCTACAGAGTGAGTTCCAGGACAGGCTCCAAAGCTACACAGACAGAGAAACCTTGTCTCGAAAACCAAAAACCAACCAAACAAACAAACAAAAAAAACCTTAGGACCCAGGGTATTAGCGAATTAATTTTTTTAATTCTCATTAAGTTTATTCCATTTTTTTATGTGTAAGTGTTTTGTCTGCATGTATGTTTGTGCACCATGTGTATGCTTGGTACCTGTAGAGGTCAGAAGATGGTATCAGATCCCTTAAAAGTAGTTACAAATTGTTGGGAACCACCATGTGGGGGCTGGGATATGAAACCAGATCTTCTGCAAGAACAAGTGCTCATAAATGCTGATCCATTTCTCTAGCCCCAGGGCCACACAATATTTAACATATTCAAGGCCACACAAGTAGACTCTAACTCCAGTTAAATGTGTGTATGGTCATATATTGTTTTCAGATGCTAATTTTTATCTTTTAGCTCAGGCCGGCTTCAAACCACTGTGTAGGTGAAGATAACTCAGCACTTCTGATCTTCCTGCCTTCAACACCCAAGTGTTAGGATTATAGACATGAATCCAGTGATGGGAATTGAACCTAGGGTCTCATGCATGCTTGGCAAGCAGTCTACCAACTGAGCTATATCCCCAGTTCCTGTTTGTTTTTTAAATGCACTTTTGCATGGCTTCATTTCCCCAAGCCAGAGTGACATCATGTTACTATTATCACCATTTCCCAAGCATCTGTAACCTACTTGATATAGAGCATATACTTAGATCTAAGAACTTCAAATCTACTTTGTATGATCTAGATCCTTCTTTTGCATATCTTTTGCATGTTGAATCAGCTTTGAATCTAATGTTCCATTTTCATTTATAATTGCTGAAACATTTACATTATGCATTATGGATGGCCATAATTAGAAAGGGCTTGAGAGACACATCTCCAATCATTTCATTTTAAAAACAAGAAAGAAAAAGAAAGGCTTGAAGTAATAACTCCATAATGATAACTTTTCTGGAACTTGCTGTATGCCATCCCCTGAACCAATTATCCAACAACTCTCCTCTAACAATCCAGTGATCTAGCTACTATTTGCAACTCCATTCTGCAATTTCTGCAGAAACTGAGGCATGGTGGTTTGTTCATAAGACAAACAGTAAGTAGTAAAGTCAAAGTTTGAATCCAGACCCACCCAACTGCAAACCTGAACTTTCAGCCACTACCCTATATGATCTGTCTAGGGGGTCACTTAGTTTATCAGAGGCAATGCAGGACCAGAATGCAAGTCTATAACATCTCAGCCCTGTCATCTTTATTGCTATGCTACCTCAGATTCCTTGATGTTTCTGAGGGCCAAAGTATCGGGGAAAGGTTTGGAGCAGTTGAAAAATGATGGTTTGCTGATTTCAGAAAAGTGTGTTTTGATGGTTCCAAGTATACCCAGAAAATGGATTCTCCAGGTTCAATCTGGAACATGATGTCTCTGCAGTGATAATGCAGCACTTACATAGATAATGGAGAGGATGCCATTGTAGTTTTTGGTTGAAACATTGAGCACGATCTTTAGCTGTGAGACCAGCACTTGGAAGGCAGCAGCTGTTGTGAATCCGCCAACCAAAGGGTCTGCCAAGTACCTCACTATGAATCCAATCTGCAGACCTCCAAATATCAGCTAGGGTAAGAAGAAAGGAAAAAGTTAGATGTTTGCCTGAGAGAAGGAACAATTCTCTGGAAATAGTAACGAATTAAACATTGTGTCAGTGAAAACACTAGCTCCACTGCCCCACATGCTCGCCCTCAGTTGAATCACTTGCGTTCTGTTTGCTTTCTTTTCTCAGACTTTGGTAACAAGTGATTCTGGTTTCTATTTGTTCGTTTGGTTGGTTTTTGTTTCCAAAGTCATTTTAGTATCTGACAAAAACAATGTTATTTAGAAAATAACATTAGAACTAAAAGTAAGTTTTAGTTCAAGAAGTTTGTCTTGCATTTAGATGCATCTTTAAATCTCCACATTTTAAAATTAATTATTTCAAATAAGAATTACACTCATCTGTGTTTACATGTAAGCCTATTTATTACCTGTATGATTCCTACTAGAAGAGTGAGGGTGCTTGCAATTAGTACTCTGGCCGCATCTCTGGTTCCGGTATCTAACATGGTCATGTTTGATGCACTTCCATTACCACTGGGCACAAGAAAGTGGTCATCTGGAGCCATGCTCAGAACAACAGATCCCACCATTAAACTGACCACGGGGAAAGGTCCTGGGGAAAAAAGGCTTTGTCAACTAGCCAATAATGAATCACAGACATTTAGACTCAACATGTCTATGTACTATTAGAAAGGTGTGTGGTAGTTGGCTGAAACTAAGAATTACTGTTTGAAGAAGCTGAGAATCTCAAGGCATTCCTGACTCAGAGAAGACAAGATGTAGGTAGATGGTAGTAAAGCAGTGTTGAGCATACTTCATGAGTGTGTAGGGAGGGTACCAGGCCCTCCTGTGTGGGATCCTCATGTCACAGGGTATGGGAGTTATCAGGAAAGATTTCCTGTTGGAGACACACATAAACTGAATCCTTATTTATTCAATTTAGTATTTATCCCCTATGATCTCATCTTTTAGAGTGTCCAAAATCCTGATCTCCAGACACAAGTACCTCCATCAATATCAATGTCAAGTGTCCAAACTGACAAAGGATTGGAATATGATTTCTTTTTTATCATATGCCAGTCAATAACATCCTATTTTTAAAAGTTTTCTTTATTGATTTCTTCTATTTACTACTTACATTTTTTCCATGTTGATGATGATCCTATTCTTTGATTATAAAAGGTATTATCCTTGAGAGGCCTCAGTACCCAAGCCTGGTAACCAGGAAAATCTACATGTAGTGAATGCCAGAGGCAAATCCATTTGTCTCTTATTGACTGGTTCTCCAAAGAAGTTGTTTCAATCAGTAGGCATCTCCTGACCTGCTTCTGCAGACAGGCCAGAGGCTAGAGTCTATGAGAGACACCATCATGCACAAGGGCGTAGGATGCAGTTGAGGATAGGACTACCTTTGTCTCAAGAGGGTCATCCAGAAAATATACCTCACCAGCACATGGATGTAGCAGCAAAATTATCTTCATTGCTGATGTCAAAGTCACATAAAATTAAGCCGGGCGGTGGTGGCGCACGCCTTTAATCCCAGCACTCGGGAGGCAAAGGCTGGTGGATCTCTATGAGTTTGAGGCCAGCCTGGTCTACAGAGCAAGATCCAGGAAAAGGCGCAAAGCTACACAGAGAAACCCTGTCTCAAAAAACCAAAAAAAAAAAAAAAATTATATCAAAACATTTATTTGCTAGAATATTCCAGAAAAAAAAAACTACCTTGAATGTTAGGAATGAAAGGAAAACACACTGTGAGTCATGTCAAGAAGTAATACAAAACTTTTTCTAAATTGTGTTGGCAGGATTTTGCCAGTCTTCCAATATTCCTTACTGAAATAAATATGTTCCTTTATAAAATAACAAATGTGTATTTGGTGACCATAATTCAGTAAATACAAATTTAACCTAGTGATATAAGTGGATTTAGATCTGGTAAAGATTTTTTTCTCTGTCATATGTTGGAAGAGATCACTTTTAAATATAGAGACAATTTCATTACATTTAAAATTTTTAAGCTGTGATAAAACTCAAAAGTAAGCTTTAATTTTCAGTCTTTCAATTGCATTTTTTAAAAGCACAGTTATGTATAAAGCTAACAATGCCATTTAATAAAGCAACACCCTGAAGCTTGGTTCCTCTAGGACTCATTGGCAAAGGTCTGGAGGCATTGTATATCCAGCATAGCAGAAACATTTTACAGATGAACAAATATAGCTGTAAAATATGCTTGTAATTACCAACTGAGATGTGTCTTGATGTCCCAAAGACAAAATATGTCAGGATAGGAAAAAAGGCAGAGTAGAGACCATATTCAACAGGAACTGCAGCCAGCAGAGCATAAGCCATCCCTAAGACACAACCAACACAGTAAGAGTCACAACAAAATTTACAGCATGTTTTTACCACACAAAGAAATGCTTTTTCATAGACATACTCAGTTTATGGATTCAAAATATCAGCAGGTCCTGTGTGGTTTTCTTGTTTTGCATGCAGACCTCGGCTAAGCTAAGATGTGGAATATGACTTGGCTGGGATAATGAGGGTTTCTACACCCATCCCCTGCTCAGATGAACTGACTCCATTGCTCAGTAATTCAGTCACTGGCTGATGATATCAGTTGGAAAATAATTAAATCAGTTCCGGTATAATTTGGTTAATCCAGTCCCAAAGCCCAGACCAGCTTATGTGAATAGTTCTCTATGAACTCATATTTCTCTATGTTCTGAAGGATGCAGGCATCATTGCACTTTATCTTTCTTTGCTAAATAACAGAAGTTAGATTAAAAAAAAACAAGACAACTCTACCCTGATAAGGGAGGCTGACCCACCAGTGGGCTATGCCAGGCAGCCTCTGGGCTATGAATCACAGGCTATGGAGAAACCAACATTTCAGTGGACATGGGAGTTGGAAAAGGATAATGACATATTCTTTCCTAGTTAAACATTTCAGTAGTCAGCATGCCTTAACACATGGTATATCTCCATAATTCACACTTTAGGAGTGAAAATTCAACCCTTTGACTCCTGAGCCATTAATAGAGGATTATTCATAATGATTTTTAAAACTTACTAACAACCTAAATAACCCAACACATTTGCACTTATATTTATTTACTGAATGAATATCTCCCAATAAGGAAACAGTTAGCTAAGTTATACTTAAACATGATGATTCTATGTTGTAGTGTGTTTTTGGAGGGGAGTGGAATAGAATTGATGTAATATAAAGAAATATGTTTCCCTAACACAACCAAATATAAAGTAAAACTTTAAAAAGTTACATTTTAATTTATTTTGTGTATGTGTTGTGAAGGCAGTACAAGAGTAGGTGTGTGTACCACAGCATGTGTGTGAAGGCGAGAGCAGAACTTCTGAGTGTTGGTTCTCTCTACAGTTTGTGTCCTGGGGGTCAAACCAGGTCCTCACATAGATGCACTGATTTTTTGAAAATTTTGTATGTGTGTGTGATTTACACACACGTGTGTGTTCAGGACACTAGAGGCTAAGGAAGGCATCAGATGCTCTGCTCTGCAGCTCTCACTAAACCTGGAGCCATCCTAGGCTGTCAGCAGACTGCAGCAGTCTTCCAGTCTCTGCCCCTTCACGGTGCTGGTATTAAAGCACCCTGCTTTTTTTTTTTTTTTTTTTTTTGGTTTTTCGAGATAGGGTTTCTCTGTGTAGCTTTGCGCCTCTCCTGGAACTCACTTGGTAGCCCAGGCTGGCCTCGAACTCACAGAGATCCGCCTGGCTCTGCCTCCCGAGTGCTGGGATTAAAGGCGTGTGCCACCACCGCCCGGCTTACACCCTGCTTTTTACACAGGTTCTGGGGACTTACACTCAGACCCCCATGCTTGGGCAGCAAGGGCTCTTCACTGCTGAGCTATCATCCTCCGACCCCCTGGGGGGCGCTTCTTTAATACCCAGGTTACTGCTAGGAAGTGCAACAAGTGCTCTCCCAGGAACTTGAACAGAAGCAGCAGATTCACCAAGACACAATAGGAAAAGGAACAGAGCATGAAGGCACAGCCTGCCTGTTTCCTATGGACAGTTTTCTAGTCCTCAAACTGGGCGTTCCCTGAACAAGGTGCTGGATCTCTTTTCTCTTCTCTGCACTTCTGCCTACACATCTTAATATGCCTGGGAAACAGGGATGTTTTCAGTTTTCATACACACTGTCTATTTAGGGTAACTTTTATTCATGTACAACATAGTTATCTTTGTTACAAAGGAGCTAGGTACAACATTTTTGATATAATATGGTTTGGAAAGAAACCTAAACTGTTGATTGAAAGTGTGAACTCTCTGTTGGTGCATAGGCTGGATAAGATGGTGGCGTGTAAGCTAAATTGAAACCATCTGAAAGGAAAGGCCTTCCACCATGTGAGGATACAACCCAACAGGTCATGACTTCAGACTCCTTAGCTTTAAAAACTGAGAAATAGATTCCTATTATTTATTAAGTAAATCAATTAATGTCCAAGATAAAAACCAGACAGGAAACTCCCTATAGCCATGAGTAAAGACTCCAATAAAAGGGCTTGTAGGTCTTTTGTTGCTTAATAGGAATTTACTTTTTAATATTAGGAATCAAAAGACCCCATACCCTGAGCAAACCCAGACTCTTCTCCCAGCACTTCAAGGGGCCAGCTAGCAAGCAAGTCATAGACTCTGTCACCACTGGAGTTGCAGTATAGCCTCCAAAGTCCCCATTTGAGCCTAGCTCTCGTTAGCTGTGGCCTGGAGCCCTCCAGCCTACACACTCTGGAATCCTTACTGGGGCATTCATCGCTTTATCATCATAAGACTTCTACTCTGAACCAACCACTCTGTCCACACCACTGTGCCATCTTGCCCTCACTTCCATCCTGGGTCAGCTCAGCCCATGGGATTTCACAAATGTTCCCTTGCCTTCATCCCAACTCCTTCCTTTCACCTGGAACCGCCCCCCCCCCCCCGCCCCCAGACATTCATGTGCTCCAGAATAGCTTTCAAGCAAGTACATAATCTAGATGGAAGCATTGCACCAAGACTAACCAATGCTTAAAACATTCCTGATCCCAAGCCCCAGCAGGAACCGAGCTTGACCTGGTGAGCCAGTTGCGTTTCCTTGCAAGTGTGCCTTTCCACTGCCTGGCTGAGCTGGCCGGTTTTCAGCTGCACTTACCAGAACATAATGATGATGGCTGCTGCAGAATGTATTTCCTATCTTGCAGCGCTCTCTAAGTCCTGTCTGATCCAGCTCAAGGTGGCAAACCTACCCTCAGGGCTGGGTTTAGGATGAAGCTGCCTTGAGAACATTATTTAATCAGGCCCCTGAGAGTGTTTCCTTGCTTCACCCAAACCCTGGCCTTGTCCAGTCTTATCTCAGATCACATTAACAGTGACCCTCCCCAACACAATCACCACATCAGATTTCTCCTTTCCTTCCCTGTTTGTCCTCAGGTCCTTTGCATCTTTACGTGGCAGTCTTAGTTCGGCTATCACATGGGTGGCTCCCAGTCATCTCCTGGCTCTGTCTAAATCTCTTCTCTTCAGTTAGGCCTTCCTTACCCACAGTCTATAAAATAGCCCTTCCTTCCCAAATGAGCGCCTATCATGCTATATTCCTACCTCTACCATTGGACTCGATCCACAAGGTCTGTGTCTGTTAGTGATGGCTGAATTCCTGAAGTACAGAATGAACCATAGAAGGTTATTATGTGCATGAGCGATAAGCAAGCACGTGTGAGCCAAATTTACCTTCCAGAAATGCACCTAGCAAAGATAAGTTTATAGCATTATTTCTGGAAAACAAGCCATCTCTAAAATGAGGAACTGCAGTGTACAAGTTAAGAATGTAGGGTCAGACAGGATTCAAGTTCTAGCACTAGCACTCACCTACGCCAAGGTCTGGGCAAGAATTAACAGATTTCTCATTGTTAAAGGGGCTATGGTAATAGTACCCCTCTCTCAGAGTTCATATGAGAATGAGAGGAAATGTATCTGATACATATTAAGCAAAATTTGTCTCTTTTCCCCCTGCTGGGTGTTAAATCTAAGACCCCATGCATCCGAGCCAAGCACTCTGCCACTGAATTCCATCTCCCAGTGGTAAAATTTATCTTCATAACACACTTGTCTATGACAACTGAGAATGTCTGGGCCCTTAAAAAACCCCACATTTTTCGTGTGTACAAATGATTTATTGCCAGGAATGAAGTTCAGTCCTTTTCACTAAATATTGATTGAGCTACGTACTATAGCTGATCTCTGTGGTAGACAGGGCCTCAACAGCCATGGGATGGAGAAGGCTCCTGTTCCCCAGGAGCCCTGGATGCTGCCACTTTATGGCATTTATTTAGTGTTTTTTTTGAGACAGGATTTCTCTGTGTAGACCAGGCTGACTTCAAACTTCGGGACCCACCTGCCTCTGCCTCCCAAGTGCTAGATTGAAGGCATGCACCATCACAGTCAACTCACTTTACAGACTTTAGAGCCACAGTATAGAACATGCCCCACCCCTCACCTTTGGGATATAGAGCACACTGGGTCCAACTGAGGCTCCACACTGGGGCTGCAGAACCTTTTCCTTCTCTGTAGGGATGTCCCTGTGCCTGTTCTGAGTAAACTTGAGTAATCCTTAGCTTGTCAAGTATTAGCAGCCTTTGTGCCATAAAAAAGCACCAAGTAAAGAATTCTGTAGCTGGGCAGGAGTGATGCACACTTTTTTATTTTTTGTTCTATTTTTTTGAGACAGGGGTCTCTTTGTGTAGCCCTGACTGTCCTGGAACTCTCTTTGTATACCAGTCTGGCCTGGAACTCATAGAGATCCACCTGCCTCTGCCCCCTAAGTGCTGGGATTAAAAACATATGCCACCATTGCCTGGCCACAGCCAGATTTTAATGCACAACATTGCCTAACATTTATTACAAGCTTCTAAAATAGTCTATTTTCAAGCTATTTCTCCACATGCCCACCCCCTACACCAAATAAGCTATGAGCTCCTTCAATGCATCTTAGTCTTGATAATTTACCTAGTTCTGCAACCCATTAGGTAGTCTGTAAATTATACCAAATAAATGAGTTCTGTTGTCATGATGTGGAAGCTTTGGTGAACTGGGAGTACAACCCAAACTAAGATACTTCTCTCTTTCCTTTAGAGTGCTTTCACACTGCAGGTCAAGATCTGAGCAGGGAACGGAAATAAAGTAATCCAATGAGCTTAAAGAATTAGTTTTTAAAAACCATCAGAACATAATAGAGAATATCAGAACATATTATTTGTATTACTTTACAAAACTTTAGCTATGTGAGTACATACCATGATGCACATTTCTTTCTGTGTACTGTGCTCAGTATCTTTGGGGATCTCTGGCTTGGGACATCTCTGTAACCTGGAGCCACACAACTAGAGAAACAACAATGTTTCCTAGGAAAATATCTTTATGAAAGAGGAGAAGATAGGTGACTCTTTCTACTAAGGCACCTTAAAGAAAGGGTGAAGTCCTTGAGAGGAGAGTGAACACTCGGTCCATGGTAGGAGGAGTGGGGAAGAGACAGTAACTCACCATCACTTGAGACCTATCCACCAGCATCTTACCTTGCAGGGTACCCACTAGCCCAGTGCTAACTCCAGAGATGATGTCACTCAGCAACCATTCCTTGACTCTGTATTTGGGGAGCCAGTCCAATATGGGCAGGAGAGTCTTCAGTATACCAAAGACTCTCTTTCTTGAGCAACTGTCAAAAAGCAGGAAAATAGGATGTCTGATCCAGTTTTGACTATAACCAGTTGCAAATCACAAAGTCATGAACCAAATTCTGCAGCTTTTTAAAAAATAACTAGTCAGGAAAAAATTAGTTCCATGAGGAAAATACTGACACTGAAGTGCTTGCAATGGTTTTGCCAAGAACTGTATCTATCCTTTCAAATGAACTGTTCTAAGAAACAAACAGAGGATTAAATGTCTCCCACTTCATCCACATTTTTAATCCTCTGAGAAAATATCCCTACACAAGAACCCATTTTCTGACCCAGCCAGAAACTGATCAGTGTGGAGTCTCTGTGTGAGATTAATTTTTAGGCTCCTAACACGGGCATTGCCTTCTTTAAAGAAAAATAAACACAGAGCTATTTTGGCAATACAAGCTTAGAGCCACTTTTAACAAAACTTGTAGTGTGATGAATTTATACTTTGTACCATGTGTCACTTAGCAATTGTAAATTTAACAATCTATAGATAAGAGGAAAAATGCCAATAGATAGGACTTCCACTTTTTTTTTTTTTTGGTTTTCGAGACAGGGTTTCTCTGTGTAGCTTTGCGCCTTTCCTGGGACTCACTTGGTAGCCCAGGCTGGCCTCGAACTCACAGAGATCCGCCTGGCTCTGCCTCCCGAGTGCTGGGATTAAAGGCGTGCGCCACCACCGCCCGGCAGGACTTCCACTTTTTAAAGGTATTTTTTAAAATTATATTTATGAAATAATTGCAAAGTTTAATAGGTCATCCAAGTTATTAAGGGATTATTTTAGGTGGATAATAAGACATAACTATGTATTTTTAAATCCTTGGAGGTACACAGTAAAAAAATGTATGGTGGTCCCTCCTTATCTGACACATGGTTTTGTGAGTTCAACCTATTACAGATAAAAGCAAGAAAAATGTGCTGAACATATGAAGGGGTTTCCCCCTTATTTCCTAAACTTAACAGTGTGACAGTGGTTAACAGTGCAGTTACATGGTATTAGGTACTGTAAATAGTCTAGAGATGGTTGAAACTACTGGAGGGTGTATGGATTATATGCAGACATTAAGCTATTATATATATGGAACTTGGAAATTTGAGTGGTCTGCTATGGGATTCCTAAAAACCAATCCCTTATAGATACCAAGGGAGAATGGTAACAGAAAATCCAATACATGGGATTTTAAAAAAAAATCATGCTGGAGCCCATGCCTTTAATCCCAGCATTTGGGAGGCAGAGGCAGGCGGATCTCTCAGTTCGAGGCCAGCCTGGTCTACAGAGTGATTTCCAGTACAGCCAGGACTAAACAGAGAAAGCCTGTCTCGAAAAACAAAACAAAACAAAACAAACTTCAAAGAATTAACAAAATAGTATATTAAAATAATGCTAGAGGAAGCAAGTGAGTGGCGGTGAGTGAGATAAGATGAGCTAATCTCATAATGATCATTACTGAAGGGGATAATAGTAAAATCTCGGGTATTAATATCTTCTCCGTCTATTTTGCATATACTTTAAATATTAGGTAGTTAGAGTGTTTTTAAGAAGAAAATCTGGCGATTATTTGAGTGTCTGCCAAGTTTTTTAAGTTTATGGTGTCTGGTTCTGGGGCTCATTGGGGTTTGGGAACCCACTGCTTCCTGAAGCACTTGGAACACCTGTCTCCTAGCTTTGATTCCAGGTCTCTGAAAGCACCCCTGACCCTGGTGTGGCCAGGCTTGTCCATCATCGGTTGCTATGAGCTCCTTTCCTACCGCTTTCCCCTAGCCTGGCCTTCACAAGAAGGAAACACGCAGCCACTAGACCCCAAGGTGCCTTTCAGATTTCATTGAAAAGGGAAAAAGAGAAAAAGTGAAACTGGAGTGGTGTCGTGATCAGACACCCCCTTCTCCAATAGGGAGTTTCTCCAGACAAAGTTGGAGTAATTCCACCTCTGTCTTGGAACTGTGCGAGAAGAGCGAGCGCGGAGCGAGAGCCGCGGGTACGCCGCACCCCACCGCCAGGCACGCGCTTCTTTCCCGGGAGGGTCGCCCCGGCACCTGCCGGCTGCCCCTGTACCTGCAGCTCCGCACAAGGCTGTCCCGCAGCGTCCTGCGCTCCTGCAGGCGCCGCTCGCGCTGATGCTGGAAGGCGAGCTCGCTGTACACTGGCCGCGACACCACGTAGCTGCAGCTGTACTCGGCGAGCTGCTGCGGCTCCGACCTGCTGCTCGGCGCTGTCATGGCCTGCGAACCCGAGGACCACGGGTCGGGAGGGGAGGCGATGAGAAAAGACACTCGGAAGCACCGGGCAAGCAGTCCGCAGCTGGCACCTGGGAGCAGCCGCGGGTGACACTGTTGGAGCCGCGCTAGAGAGCCGGTCCGATCCTGCAGTCCTTGACGCTGGCGACAAACCGCCCCTACGGCCACCTGAAGGACAGCAACTGAGGACTCCAGTGTCTCCCACACTAGATACCCGGGAATGTCCAGGGAGTGAGCCTCACTTTGGGGACTTGGGGTGTTGGACTGGGTCCCTCCCTGGGCAGTCAGGGCGCTGTCCGCGTTCTGAAATCTCCCCTGGACCGGACCCGGGTCCGTGAGACAGGGAAAGGGTCCCGTACTCCCTTTCCCTGCACTCGGTAGGAGAGGCAGCTCCACACACACTCTGGGCTGCAGCAGTGCGGTCCCGCTTGGGAAAAGAAACAGCGACTTTCCCGGTCCTATCCCTAGTTTCCTTTTGTCTCGCCTTTTCTGATGCCTCTCCTGCCTTGCCCGCCGGCGCCTGACCAGTCCCATCCCTAGAGAGTTACAACAGGGCGGGGTGTAGTCGACTGCATCTTCTGCGATGAACTCACCTGTTTGGGCTCCTGTGCTCTCTGCCTGCCCGGAATGCCCTGGGAACAGTCTTCCTGCTGCCTTTATAGTGCTCACCAAAGCAGTAGGACGCATTATTTATGGAGCAACAGACACCTTGGTCGAACGGAAGGACGCAGAGAGAGCAATTTTTCCCCATGAATCTTAACCAGGAAAAAAAAAAAAATCCTACCTCTCCTGCGTTCTTTCCCTTTCCCAAACCCAACGGGCTGTGACTCTTAACGCTTGTTTCACAGGGGCCACCAGATCTTCATTCATACCACGACTACTAGGGCTGTGAAGTCAGGGACAGGCCAGAGCTTCCATGCTGGGGGAACCTGGGTCCTAGGCTGTTAGAATCCACAGCCTGGTCCAGGCTAACGTACACTAAGTAAATAACAGTGGGTGTGCTGAAGAGACTATAGTCTACTCACTGATTTTAGACGCCAATTCTTTTCACTTTTGTGCATGTGTCTAATGCACAAACTCGGGTGTGTAGGCGGCCCGGTTCTCACCTGCCTCTTTGACTCTTTGATTTGTTCTTCTCCAACTAGATAATCAGGAGGGGATCCACTGGGACAAGCAAGAATCAAGACAAGGAAGAGTGGGGGATTCCGATCTATCCTGTTTTGTATTCCACTGGGAATCTGGCTGAAACTAATGCATGGTTAAAATAAGGTCAGAAGGGTTTGGAACTTCAGATCATTCGTGCCTGGTTAGTATTCTGAAGCAAATGCAGAAGAGGCTCAAAAGTATGGACGCTCTGGACACCAAGTTCAGCCACTCACTTGGGAAACACAGACCATGACAATTTTATAAATTCCCGGAAATAAAATTTCTCTTAGGAGAACTCTAGTGTAAATCCCCTAGTCAATATGTTGCAAGCATGTGTGGTTTCCCCCCCATGAGGGATGAATGAGTCACCAGCTTTCAACAGATTTTCAAAGGATTACTTGACCCAAAGAGGTCAAGAACCAGCCAGGCACGGTGGCATGCACCTATAGTCTCAGGAGACTTGGGAGGCAGAGATGGGAGGGTCACTTGAGTCCATGAGTTTGAGACCAGGTTGTGCAACCGAGAGGGAGGAGAGAGAGAGAGAGAGAGAGAGAGAGAGAGAGAGAGAGAGAGAGAGAGAGAGAGAGAGGGAGAGAGAGAGATTTAAAAACTATTAAAGATGGAAGAAACCTTGTCCTGCTTCCAATCTGCTCTCTGCTGCCTGTACACAGTCAAAATGTGACTATCCAGCTTCCTACCCGTTGTCATGCCTTACCACCATTATGGACTTTGACCCTCTGGAACCATCAGTCAAAAATAAGTTTCCTCTCTAAATTGCTTTTGGTCATAGAAACAGAGAAGTAGCTGACGCGCTGTAAGAATTTGGTTCAGTGATAATAATGATATGTGTGAAGATGTATATTGGTGAAATTATTAAGGCCACTCCACGTAGTTAAAAGGAAGATTTATTTATGGCGTAACTTACAAATGAAGGGATAGGTAGGTTGCGGGTTCTGTGAAAGACGCAGCGCAGTCTGGCGGTGTTCTCCGGAGAACTCTCCTCGGTCCACCTCTAGCGTCCCTGGTCCAAGAAGGAAGAGGGCCCCCGTGGGGCGCATTCTGATCTCCGGGCTTCAGGGCCCACCCTTGGCCCCGCCTTGTAAGCGTGGTAGTTACCGAATCCTCAATGGGGGTTGGAACTTCCAGACCAAAGCTGGAATGGCTACCCACTACAGATGTATTAATGAAATGTAATATTTTGTATACTATTGTAGAAAATTAATAATACTGAGAAAGAATTTGGGGAGTTGTGAGATCACTCAGTGAATAAGGAACTTGCCACCAAGACTGCCCTGCCGACCTGAGTTCAATTCTCAGCAGAGAACCTGCTCCGGTGAGTTATTCTGTGACTCCCACAGCATTCTGTGTTACTTTCATACTCACAAAAAAGCCAGGCGGATCTCTGTGAGTTCGAGGCCAGCCTGGGCTACCAAGTGAGTTCCAGGAAAGGCGCAAAGCTACACAGAGAAACCCTGTCTCGAAAAACCAAAAAAAAAAAAAAAAAAAAAAAAGTAAATAAAATGTAATAAAACTTTTTTTAGAATTTGGTTTAAGCACCACTGTGTATTATGTCCTGTATCTGAACATTGATACTGTTTTCCCCATCCCATTAAAAGTATTTTCTATAGCAAAAACAAACATCCATGAACAGAATAGCATCTGCATTATAGGATTTGATAAGACCATAGAATTACTCTTCTCATAGCTGAAAGACTTTGGCTATCTTTTAAATAGCTAAGTGGGTCAGCTAGATGGTTCACTGGGTAAAAGGCACTTGCTGCCAAGGCTGATGACCTGAGTTTGGTCCTTGGGACCTACAAGAAAAAAAGAACTGCCTCCTACAAGTTGTCATCTGATCTCCATATGCCCCCACACAAAATAAGTAAGTAAATTAAAAATAAATGAATAAATAAAACGTAAAACCAGGGAAGAGTGTGAGGTAAACACAGCTGCTATCCATCTCACTAGTTACATTAACCTCCTCAGATTACTCACATTGGCTTTACAAATCAAGTCTCACCTGTTTCACATAGAAGTAGGTGGGTCTTATTTGCCAAAATTTAATCACATCCAGACTTTTTTTCCAAAGAAGTGAGTGTGTCACTTCAAAATAGACATCAGAGGGCAATATTGCTACCTTATGATACTTCTCAGTTGTTGCTGATTTAAAGGCCAGGTGATGTAGCACACTGCTGTCATCTCAGCACTCAGGAGGCGGAGGCAGGAAGAGAGCCAGAATTTCAGGGTCAGCCTGGTCTACATAGAAAGTTCCAGGCCTGGACTGGAGAAATGGCTCAGAGGTTAAGAGCACTGGCTCCTCTTCCAGAGGACCTGGGTTCAATTCCCAACACCCATATGGCAGCTCACAACTGTCTGTAACCATAATTCCAGGGGATCCAGCACCTTCACACAGACACACATGTAGGCAAACCATTAATGCACATAAAATAAAATAAAGAAGTTCCAGACCAGCTGGAGCTACATGATGTCCTGATCCTGCTGTGGATATCATTCTGTATAAATAAAATACCGATTGGCCAGTAGCCAGGCAGAAAGTATAGGCGGGACAAGCAAAAAAGAAAATTCTGGGAAGTGAAAGGCTGAGGCAGAGAGACGCTGCCAGCCGTCGCCATGAGAAGATGTTAAGATACTGGTAAGCCACGAGCCACGTGGCAACTTATAGATTAATAAAAATGGGTTGATTTAAGATATAAGAACAGTTAGCAAGAAGCCTGCCAGGGCCATACAGTTTATAAGTAATATAAATCTCTGTGTGTTTACTTGGTTGGGTCTGAGCGGCTGTGGGACTGGCAGGTGAGGGAGCTTTGTCCTGACCGTGGGTCAGGCAGGACTGGAGAACTCTCCAGCTACAGAATCTTGTCTCAAAAACAAATAAACAACAACAATCCTAAAAAACAAACAGCAAAAAAAGCATTGTCTCTCAGGCGTTTAGAGTTTAAGACCACCGTACTATTAGATCTATATATCATTTATTCAAGAGCTTATTAAGAATTCACCACCACCCCTACACACACACACACACACACACACACACACACACACACACACACACACACACACACACCCGGAGAGATGAAGCAATGCCAGCACCCCCTACACACACACACACACACACACACACACACACACACACACACACACACACACACACACTGAGAACTAGGCCTGTGCTTGCCCACTGCCTGAGATCTTCAAGCTGCGAACCCACTTGAACTTTTGCAATTGGAGACAGCAGTAATGGCATCAAAATGGAGAGCTACTGTACCGTGGTATTCTCACAGAGTATGTGCAAGATACTGGTGACATTATCATCATGCAGTGGTTTGGATTCAAAATCACAGAATGCCTACAGAAAGTTTAGGGATTCCTATTTCACTTTCCATGGTTCTCCCCCTATGGAGTTCTTCTCTGGAGCTCTCTTGCTTGTGGGGCGAGGCATCCTTGGAGTTGGAAAGAGCAGCACATGGCCTGGCAGCCTCTGCTTGACAGCAGAACCCAGGCATCCACAAAAGAAAGTGAGCACTGCATGAAGAGGAAGAGCTGGAGCTGGATTTAGATGAAGAAGTAGAATGTGAGCTGAGAAGTATGGAAATCACCAAGGAGCTCTGCCAGTACTTCGTAGAGACTGAGGCACAGAGAAAGAAGGGCTACGGTGACACTAGCAGCTGGATGCTGATGGCCTGGATGACTATGTGAACGCTGACCGTGGCCTGTCCTACAACCACCCCTGGTCTGTGGAGCCCCCATCTGAGAAGCCCGGAGAGCGACATGAAGTGCTTGTATAGGGGCAGTACTCCCAAGGTCCTGGCTGTGGAGGCTGCTAGGCAGCTGGGGTTTGACAAGTACTATGACAAAAACAGCCTGAGTACTGGCCTGCCATTCCCCTGAAGTCCTGAGTCCCGGGCACAGGGACCCTACAGAATGCCTCCTGAACACAGTTCTTGGCCTCTCCCTCTTAATTTTGGGTATGTTCTCTTCATCTCTCCTGGACATTTTTCAGTGAAAGAGGCCTGTCTACCAACATAGTTGATAAAATCTATCAGCCACCTAGAATTCTGTCAGCAGGAGGTATACTGTTGCCAACACAAGAAATGCTCCCTTGGCATAAAGTGATAATTGTGTGTACTGCACTGGCTCTTGATTTTCTCTGTACCAGAGTCAGGGTCACTGAAATTATTGCCAAGAGATACTGCCTAGTGGTTTGCATTTTTAATTTCCTTCTTTACATCTTAAATGTCACAAAAGCCTTAAGACACATGTCATTCATTCATTCATTCATTCATTCTTTCTTTCTTTTATTTGACACCAGTTCTCATATAGCCCAAGCTAGCCTCAAACTCTTAAATCCTCCTGCTTCTACTTCCCAAATGCTAGCTTACAGGTGTGTACCCCACACTGGGCTCTAATCCACATATTCTCTCCAACTATAACCCTTTGAATCCTTCTGAAAACGAGGTAAATGTACAGTAAGGCAAATACCAATTGGCAGCATTTGTTTGTTTGTTCGTTTGTTTTTTGTTTTGTTTTGAGACAGGGTTTCTCTGTGTAGCTTTGGAGCCTGTCCTGGATCTCACTCTGTAGACCAGGCCGGCCTTGAACTCACAGAGATCCGACTGGCTCTGCCTCCAGAGTGGCATGGCAGCATTTTCTGTATCAGTGATTCATAAAATAATTGTTTTAGAATTAATGGCATCTTAGAATTAATGACACATGATATTTATATAAATTCATAATTATATCTATGCTTTTAAGTGACTGTACAATAAGAAATAATTTGAGGGACTGAAGTGATGGCTCAGTGGTTAAGAGCATTTGCTGCTCTTGGAGAAGAACTTGTTCAGTTTCTATCACCTATGTGGTAGCTCATAACCATCTGTAACTCCAGTTCCAGAGGATCCAACACCCTCTTCTGACTTCTGTGGGCATGGTACAAATGTGATGTACAGACATACATAAAGGCAAAACACTCACACACAAAATAAAATAAATACATCTTTAAAAGATGCTAGTCCTTTGATAACAAGAACAAACAATCTGGCTACATTTTTCTTGTCTAAAAAGAAGCACTGTAGTGTGAATTATTTTATGCTTAAAATTTAAACCATTATCTAATTAATCAGAAGAATTTAAAAAATGCTAATGATTTCACACCCCCTGCCCAAGACAGGGTTCCTCTGTGTAGTCCTGGCTGCCCTGGAACTCATTTGTAGACCAGGCTGGCCTCAAACTCAGAAATATTCCTGCCTCTGCCTCCCAAGTGCTGGAATTAAAGGCATGCACCACCATGTCCACTAAGAGTCCTGTTTTTTTGTTTTTGTTTTTGTTTTTTAAGATGTATTTATTTATTATGTATACAGCATGTTTGCCTGCAGGCCAGAAGAGGGCGCCAGATCTCATTACAGATGATTGTGAGCCACCATGTGGTTGCTGGGAATTGAACTCAGGACCTCTAGAAGAGCAGTCAGTGCTCTTAACCGCTGAGTCATCTCTCCAGCCCCAAGAGACCTGTTTTTAAAAGAAACTTTGATTCTGATTTTTATGATTGTTCATGTTTCAAGTGTATCATAGCTTATTTATTATTTTAAGGTGGACTTCAGTTGAATCATTTCTGTCAAGAGACCACATTTGGAAATCATGGTGATTCCCACTGTCAGCACTGCTCACACTTTAGACTGGCTCTGATGATCAACAGATACCCTGAAGAAACAATGATCAGGGAGTTCAACTATAATTCTGAATTTTTACTTTTTAATTCCCATAGCATGAATCTTAAATGGTCTTATTAATAAAATCAAATCCAAGCCAGGTATTGGGGTGAATGCTGGAAGATCAGAGAAGCAGAACAAACCACAGCTTCCTCACCTCGCCAATTCCTCAGCTGATCCTGTTTCCTCAGACTGGAAGCCTCTGAGTCCTCATATCCGAATGGATCTCAGCTGAACTGCTACTAGAAGCCTAAAAGCTTAACCAGCCAAATGCTGTTAGTTACTGGTCTTCACGCCTTATACACCTTTCTGTTATCTGCCATCACTCCCTGGGATTAAAGGCTCACTTCTTGGGATTAAAGGCGTGTGTCACCATGCCTGGCTGTTTCCAATGTGGCCTTGAACTCACAGAGATCCAGAGGGATTTCTGCCTCTGGAATGCTAGGATTAAAGGAGTGAGTGCCACCATTTTCTAGCCTCTGTATCTAGTGGCTGTTCTGTTCTTTGACCCCAGATAAGTTTACTAGGGTGCACAATATTTTGGGGAACACAATACCACCACAAATTCCTGTTAATTTTCTCAATGGATGTTAAATTCTGCCATTTTTATACAAGAAGAGAACTTAAACTTCCAAGGTTTCTGATCACCTTCTCTGAGTAACTTCCTGCGTTTATTTTGTAGCCAGACAGTTTCAGACTTGTTTCAGTCTCCTGTCCATTACTTTTTTCTCTTGCTGCTTACAATCTATGTTCCTTAATGAA